AAATGATTCAGAGGCTACAGTTAGAGCCGGCTGATTCAGCAGCCCAGCACTGTCCTCCGGCACCCAGTTTCTGTGTCTTTCTGCCCTGCCATCTTTCTCACACGGGCTGGTTCCTCCAAGGTGGTAAGTTGCCTGTGGCACCTCCAGACGACATCCTTACCATCCAGGGGCATAAAAAGAACTGCTTCCTCCCTGAATGATTTTCTTTTTTTGTACTGAGGATCAAACCCAGGACCTCTGCATTGAGATACATCTACTACCCTTTAATTTTTTAAAAAATTTATTTTGAGACAAGATCTCAATAAAGCTGCTAAATTTCCCAGGGTAGGTTTGACTTTTTGATCCTCTTCCTCCCCTCTCCCAGAGTGCTGGAACTATAGGCATGAACCATGCCCAGCCCTTGGAGTATCTTTTTGAAGAGCAAGAAACCTTTTGGGCTGGTGTTGTAGCTCAGTGCTAGTGTGCTTGCCTAGCACATGTAAAGCCGTGGGTTCAGTAAAGTCCTCAGAACTGGAGAGGTGGGGGTGGGGAGAAGGAAAAGGGGAAAGAGGAAGAAGCAACCTTTCTCAGAATCCCCTCTCCTCTGAAGGTGAAGGAAAAGAATTAAGGGCTGAGGATTTAGCTCAGTGGTTCTGCCACCTGCCTTGCAAGCACAAGGACCTGAGTTCGATCCCCTGTACCAAAAAAAAAAGAAAAAAGAAAAAAAGAAAAAGAATTAAGATGTGTTATGTACATGTACCAACTCTCCACAATGAATGTTATTACTATGTACTGTACACATGTGCTAATAAAATTTTTAAAAAATATAATCCCCTCTCCTCTTAGCAAACTTCTTTTGTTGACCAGAACTGAATCATAAACTCAACTTAGACCAATCATTGATATAAGAAATGAATAGGGCCAGGGATTTAGCTCAGTGGTTCCGCCGCCTGCTGCTCAAGCATAAGGACCTGAGTTCAATCCCTGGTACCAAAGAAAAAAAAAAAAAAAGAAAGAAATGAATGCACGCAAATGTCTTAGAACAACCAGACTTCACCTGAGCTGTCCATGGGGGGACACCAGACCCAGAATTAAAAATTGGGCTCAGTCAACAGGGAAGGAAGATGTGGTTGTCGGTAGTTTTCCCTTTGTGTGTGCTGTGCTTCTGACCCCTCTTGGGTCCTGGCCAGGTTCCATCCACCTCCAGCCTGGACAGCAGACACTTGGGCTCCATGTTTACTTCTGTCCTCAGGACTTCTCAGGTTCCTACCTGTGCGTCCTGGCCATCTACGCTCTCGGCAGTTCAAAGATGACATTCCTCACCTCTTCCTATCTCTGCCCCCCATCCGTACCTACAAAGGACCATGCCATCTTCTCGAAGCTACATCTTTCCTCTTGTCTCAGTGCCCAGGGCTTTGGGGGAGCTGCTTTCTCCAAGTGAATTCTGGCTGAGAGGCATCCCTTGGGACAGAGAAGAGCACTTTTCTTCAAAGGCAGTTGAGCACTGGAGTGATGGCTGCACATTGTCCAGTTAACAAAAACCTTGCTTTTTTTTTTTTTAGGGTCAGACACTGAGGGGAGGAATAAAGGCTTTTTCAAGTTATTTTTAGAATAGGAGGCAGTGCCACTCCATGGGCAGCAGAGCCTGGGGTTCATTACAATTACACTTTTCCATCTAGTTCCACTGGCTTTATCCTAGGTAAAAATATGCCTCTCGAGTCCCCATCCCCCATTCTGACAGCCCGCTGTCAAGACTCGTGTATGGTAAGATGGTGGGTTTCCAACTTTCTGTAGCTTCATGTTTTAGTTGCAATTCGGGAGAGTCTTGAGACGGGGTCTGTTAGAGGGACAGCACTCAGGACCAGAAGCCACAGTCAAGCATTTTTCCATGAGTGTGTGGCTTGCCTGCATTCCTTGCCTCATCACTGTCTGATATCTACTTTGGCAGTGCCCTGAGCTATCCAGGAACCTCACACTGCCTCGGCCAGCAGGCATCGAGCCTCACTGTACCCGGTCTTTTCTAGGCATTTGGTGCTGCCACCCCTGACTCCTCCCATCAGTCACTTTGCATCCTATTGAGAACTTGGTCCTCATTCGGTATTATGTTCAGCTCTTTGTAAACATCACAGAATCTCACAGCAAACCTGTCCCGTGTTGTTTGCATTTCACATGTTCTTCAGTGTTCTCTTCCCTGGACTTCTGTGAGCTTGTTTGGTCCTGGTTTTCCTTCCACCTCTCTATTTTGTTCCTCCTTTTCTTTTTCATTATTTTTATTAGCCCATGTTTGCAGTGCATAATGATTTTATATAGTGAGTTGGTACACATATATAACACATCTTAATTCTTCCTAGGGGCTCTTCCTCACCTTTCCCTCTCCCAGCTCCTCCTTTTCAAGCTTTTCTTCCTTTGCTGCTCTCTCTCTTTCTCTCTCTCTCTGTGTTTTCAGACAATATCTCACCTTGTATTGCAGGGTGGCTTTGAACTCACTATGGAGCCCAGGCAGGCCTCAAATTCACAATGATCCTCCTGCCTCAGCCTCCCGAGGGCTGTCCAGCTGGCTTCTTTGGTTTTGAGACAGGGTTTTTCTATGTTGCCCAGGCTGTCCTTGAGCTTTTAGGTTCAAGGGGTCCTTCTGCCTCAGCCTCCCAAGTAGGTTAGACCAGACATTGCCACTGTGCCTGACCTTGCCCATTTTTTTAGTTATTTCTTCCCTGTTGAGTTGTAGAAGTTCTTTGTATATTCTGGATATTAATTTTTTTTAGATACATAACTAGCAAATACTGTCTCCTGTACTATAGGTCACCCTTTCACCCTGTTTGTTTGTTTATTTATTTATTTATTTTGGTACCAAGGATGGAACTCAAGACCTTGTGCTTGCCAGGCAGGCGCTGTGCCACTGAGCTATATCCCTGGCCCCTCACCCTGTTTATTCCTTTTTTTTTTTTTTTTTTTTGGTACCAGAGATCGAACTCGGGACCTTGTGCTTTCGAGGCAGGCGCCGGAACCACTGAACTAAATCCCTGGCCCACCCTGTTTATTCTTACCACTGCTGTGCACAAACTTTGAAGTTTGTAGTCTCATTTATCTATCTTTGCTTTTTATTGTCTATGCTTTTGGTGTTATATTTAAGAAAGTATTGCCAAATCCAATTTCATAAACCTTCTCCCCTTTGTTTTCTTCTAGGAGTTTTATAGTTCCAGGTCTTAGACTTAGGTCTTTAGTCTGCCTTGAATCAATTTTTGTATGTGGCATAAGGTGAGGTTCCAACTTCATTCTTTCTGCATGTTGATATCTAGTTTGCCTAACACCACTTAATGAAGAGAACATCCTTCCCCTATAGGCCAGCCTTGGTACCCTTATGGAAGGTCACTTGGCCACATACATGAAGGTTTATTTCTGGGCTTTTGTTCTGCTCCATTTGTTTATACATCTGTATCATACTCTTTTGATTACTATAGTTTTATAATATACTTTGAAGTCAGGAAGTGTGAAGCCTTTAGCATTGTTTTTCTTTCTCAAGATTGTGTTGGTTGTTCATAATCCTTTGAGATTTCATGAGAATGTTAGGCTACTCTTCAAGTTTCTATAAAAAAAAAAATGGCCTCTGGGATTTTGCTAGGAATTACATTGAAATCTGTGGATCACTTTTGGTAAGACGGACATTCAAACCTTATGAAGTGTTCCACTCCCTGAATACAGGATGTCTTTCCATTTATTTGTGTTTTCTATAATTTCTTTTAGCAGTACTTTTTTGTTTTGGTACCAGGGATGGAACTTGAGACCTTGTGCTTGCGAGGCAGGTGGCAGCACCACTGAGCTAAATCCTCAGCCCTTTCAGCAATTCTTTTTAGTTTTTGGTTTATAAGTCTTTAACCCCTCTGATTATATTTGTTTCTAAGATTTTATCTTTTTGAGACTACTGTAAATTAATTTTTCTTCTTCTCTTTCTCTTTCTTTCCTTCCTTCTTTCTTGTCCTGGGGATCAAATCCAGGGCCTTGCTCATACTACCCAGGTGCTCTACCATTGAGCTACACCCTCAGCTTATTTATATATTGTTTATGTATTTATTTGTTTTTGTGGCACTAGGGATTAACCTAGGGGCACTCTGCCACTGAGCTACATCCCCACTTCTTTTTATTTTGAGACAAGGTCTTGCTAGGTTGCCCAGGCTGGGCTTGAACTTGTGATCCTCCTGTCTTAGCTTCCCTAGTAGCAGGGATTACAGCCATGTGCCACTGTGGCCAACTTAATTTCCTTTTAAAATTATTCATTGTTAGTATATAGAAATGTAATTCATTACTTTTTATATCCTGTAACTTTGCTGTATTTATCAGTTCTGAAAGCATTTTGTGGAATCTTTAGATTTTTCTACTTAGGAGATCATTTTATCTGACAACAGAGGTAAATGTGCCTCTTCCTTCCAAATTTATGTCCTTTATTTCCTTTTCTTGTCCAGTTGCTGAGTAGAACTTCCAGGCTTATGGTGAATAGTAGTGGCAAGCACATCCTAGCTTTTCCTGTTCTTAGAGGGAAAGATTTCAGTCTTCCCCATTGAGCATGATGTTCACTGTGGGCTTTTCTTATGTGCTCTTTATTGCTCTGGGGTAATTCACTTCCATTTCTAGCTTGTTGAGTGCTTTGCCCCAACAGTTAAGTGGCTGGTCTCCTGTCTGTATTATTTCTTGTGTCACCAAGCCATAGACAAATGCAGAAAGAATCTGGATTACAATCAACCACCACGAGGGAAGCTGGGGTGTAGGGGAGGCAGGCAGCAGGAGGGTCCCTCCTAGGAGTCGATGATGTTGAAGAGCCGTGGGTTCTCCTTGGCCTCTGTTCTCACAGACTGTGTCCCTCAACCCTTTAGCCCCTCCCACAACGATCAGCCCCCGCCTCCCAGCCCTCTTTAGCCCCACCCCATTCATCCATGCCCCGCCCTCCCAGACCCCACCTTCTCCCTGTCCACTCAGGCCCTGCACCGCAGTGGGTGCTGGTGGAGAACCTGGCTATATTTAACTTTCAGCTCCCTGGGAGGAGGATGAGATCCATAGGGACCGAGTGGAGCCCCAGAGTGTGTCCCTGTCGTGGCGGGAGCCCATCCCCGCTGGAGTCGCTGGGGCCAACGGCACAGAGTATGAGATCCGATACTACGAGAAGGTGAGTCCGTCTGGACGCTGACCCCTCTCCGACCCGGCTTGTTCTGCTTCCTCCCTCCTCCCAGCAAAAGCGTCTTTCCTTTCTTTCCAAACTACTCACCAGTCTCTCAGGCAGCCTCCCTCTTCCTGTCCCTCCGGAGGGCACCCTGAACTCCATGCCCTTTCCCTTTCCACTGAAATCCACCTTCATCACCAATCCCTCTCCATGATCACCACTTTCACCTAGCATTTACCGTTGACCAAGAGCTTTGGGGTCTGGTCCAGATTTTGTGCGGCTTAATTTTATACATACCCTCTACAGAACTGTTTTAAAGGAAAGAACGCAGGGGGAGATTGTTTCAATTTTTACAAAAATGGGCACACATTGCTAGGTTGGGTGGTGGGCTGGTAAATGTTTGTCATACAGCTCTCCAGAAAATGAATGCATGAATTATTATCATTTCACTGACACTAAGGATTTGTATGTAGCACATCATTTATAATTATAATAAAATAATACGATACTTATTATAAACTCCATAGAGCCAACCCTATAGCTTTTTATAGGATGCTTTTGCTTTTTTTTTTTTTTTTTTGAGATAGAATCTCACTGTGTTTGCTGAACTTTCAAGCAATCCTCCTGCCTCAACCTCCTGAGTAGTAGGTGGAACTACAGGCATGTCAGCAAGTTGGCGTTTTCCTCCCTTCTCTTTATTCATTTTTAATCCATGGTTTAGTTCAGCCATGATTTTACAAATAGTTACATCCCACATCACTCTCAGTTTGCTTTTATTTATTTTTTTGGTACTGGGGATTGAACTCAGGACCTTGAGCTTTCGAGGCAGGCTGCAGTGGCACCACTGAGCTAAATCGCCAGCCCCGAGGTCACTCTCTTTTCCCCATAAATGCATTGTCTTGAAGTCTGTGATGTAATCTACCGTTAAACTGCTTCTCACCTTGGCGCAGATTAAATTCATTAAGGTGAAAGCTCTTCCCATGTCAGCACTATACATGTCAGAACTCCGCTCACTCCTCCGTGACGTGTGGGGCTCCTTTCCTGAATCACATAATAGCTTTTGAATATTGGAAGTCCCTTGAGAACTGTGAGTGTGCGTGAGTGTGTGAGTGTTGTGTGTGTGTGTGGTAACCAGGAAGGAGAGGAAGTTCGAATCACTGCTGGATGTGTGGCCCAGAGGGTGGGGTGCCCCTGGCTGTCGTAAGACAGTGGAGGAGGAACAGGGTGGGGTGAGATGCTAAGCTTGGTTTTGTTCATGCAGCATTCCAGGGGCCTGCAGGACACTGAAGTCTGAACCTCCAGACAGAGCCTGAGCTGAGGAGGGGAGACTTGGTAGCCAGTGCCAGTAGGAGAATGTGTGTGTGGAGTGGCCAGAACAGGGCTCTGCGGACCTCAGATGTTTACAGACAGTTGTGTATGCAGCAGGTGCTTAGAAAGGATTCAGTGAAGGAAACTTGAAGATCAGATCACCCACGAGAGTGCCAAGCCTGAGCTGGCTGGATGCTCATAGCCCCTTAATCAGAAATATGAATGTGCTAGGAACAAAACCCTCAAAAGAAGGGCAAGGACAGCCAGGGAAGGTGGTATACACCTGTAATTCTAGCACTTGTGAGGCTGAGGTAGGAGAATCGTGAGTTTGAGGCTAGTCTGGGCTACTTAGCATGACCCTGCCTCAATAAATAAATAAATAAATAAATAAATAAATAAATAAATAAATAGGAGAAGAAAGAGCACATATGAAAGGGGCTATAAATGAAGCACTGCTGGGTCACTAGGTCTGGACAGATGTCAGGGACTCTCCGCTGGAACCGCAGTTCTCATCTTGACTTGTCTCTGTACACAACCCAACCTCTTCTGCTGAGGGCCTTGCTGGCAGCACATGGAGGCAGCAGAGGGTAGTCCCCTCACTCCTCCCTTCCCCCTAGCGAGAAGACCTCAGCTCATAGGTCCCGAAGCCTTTGCCTCTCTGTCTTTCAAGGGATTGTTCAAATGCTAGAAGGGAGATTCTGACTGGTCTGACTTGTGTCACAATTGCCCCAATTTGGGAATGCCTTGAATCAGGAGAGAGGCGCGCCTTTCTGGTACCTCCAGTAAGGTGTGGGTAGAGGCAATGATGGGAGGAGTGTCCTCAGGTCAGGCCATTATCAGAGGTGTTGGGGGCAGAGCTGGGGAGGGGTGAGATAGAGCAAAGAGCAGGCCTGAAGGATTCAGGTGTCATCTGACCTTTCCCTGATGTGAACCTCACCTATAAAAGGGAGAGAGCCATGCTGATTCCTCCGGGCTGCTCTAGGAGCATGGGGACCCAGCACTGTGGCTGGTGGTGGGTAGGCACTTATCAGTGACAGCCATTGCTCTCTCCAGCTGGGGCCAGTCTTTACTAGCCTGAGCCCAATCTTCTTATCTGTGAAACAAAACCAAAACAAACTTGATAATACCTCCTGTCCCCTGCCTTGCAGGACAGTTGTGAAAATCAGATGAGGAGGGGAAGGAGAGGCCTGTGAGATCCAGGGCCAGTGCCTGAGCTGTGGCCCTGCTCACCCCCGGACCACAATGGCTATCATCCTGTTATTCCCAAGGAAGTGCTGCGTCTTCTCTAAAGTTTCTCTTAGGCAGAGTGGGGCTGTTCTCAGCCACAAATACCCCGAAGGTGAGGTAAAACTGTGATGGAGAGAGACGCTGGGGAATCCCATGGAAGAAAGTTCTGCAGTCTCCAGGATGATCAGGGTCAGGTTCCTCCACCCCACCCATGTTGGCCTGAGCCTACCTCTCATACCTCCCTGCTTCTTTCTTTCACCCTCCTCCCAAGAGAGTAGGTCAGGCCCTGGGTCTAGGCTTCACTTCTCTGTCTTCTCCAGGGTCAAAGTGAGCATACGTACTCCACAGTGAAGACAGGGATGCCTACAGTCACCGTCACCAACCTCAAGCCTGCTACCCGCTACGTTTTCCAGATCCGGGCAGCTTCCCCAGGGCCCTCCTGGGAGGCCCAGAGCTTCAACCCGAGTATCGAAGTGCAGACCCCGGGGGAGGGTAAGTACTGTGTGCAGGTATGTGGATGGGGCTGGGCTCCCAGGGCCTGGCACAGCGGTAGGCAGGAGAGACAGAGGGTGACAGTTATGTGTGTCCCCACCAGAGCCTGCAAAGCAGCTGAATTACAGCCTGATTCATTAAGAAATTTGGGATCCACCGACCTGAACTCAATGGGGCACCTGTCCTGGAGGAGATCACAGGAAAAGTGTTTGGGGCCAGCAATACACCTGTCTCAGCTGGTGCCAGCCTCCTGGGAGGGCAGATCCTGTGTCCTCTCCAAGATCCACCTCCTTTCTTGGGAAGAGTTTATAGTCTCGCAGTCATGACAGATAGATCTTCGGTTCTTCCTGCTCTCTGTCATGATGTAGACCCACTATGGGGCACTGTCCCTTCCTCCCAGGCTTAATGTGTGAAGCACATGCCACCGAAGGTTAGGGCTGTGAAGGGGGTTAGGTTGCAGCAACCAACAAAGCAAAACAAGCATTGTACACTTTAAATGGGTCAATTGACTGGAATGGGAATTATATCTCAATAAAGTTCTTAGAAAAACAAAACAAAAGCTGAACATTAGAGATCCTGATCTTAAAATAACTCTGGCTTCTCCATGATATTGTGCTTCCCTGCTGCCCTCTGCATCCCTCTCTGGTGCCTCTTCCCCCCCACCCACCCGAGTTCCCTTTCATGGCCTGCGAAGAGCAGTTTAGCTCCCCCTTTTGTTGTTCTGCCTGCTGCTAACCCAGCCCTCAGGATCTCACCTCTATCTACCCTGAGCAGCTCATGAAAGTATTTTCCTGAACAAAGGCAGTTCCCCCTAAGAGGCATTCTGGCACCAGCTGTCAAGATAATAATTCTTTCCAACCTGGTACATGACTCTAATCCAAGATAGGAAGAGCTCTGAGCCCAAAGGGAGGCGAAGATGAAATGTTGAGGGAGTCTGAGTTCCGGGAAGGAAGACAGCACTTCTTGCTCAAATGCCTGGCTGTGTCAGACCTCAGCCAGGTGCTGGGAATAGAAGATTAGAGCTATGGCTGGAAGCTGGAGAACATCTGAACCAGTGGCCACAGGCAGGTGGGTGGAGGAAACCCTCCAAACAAAGCCTATGGGTTTGGCTGGAGACAATGTGGTGAGAGCAGAGACTGGCACTGTTATCATAGAAGGACTGATGATTTCCATTCTTTTGTGCCTCTGTTTGTAGAGACTGCTCAGACTCCAGCCTCTCTTGCGTGGCCCTGGGTATGAGAGGATATGGTTCTCCCTATTTGTGAGCAATTTTTCCAATGAGCTGTGATCCCAAGTCAGAATTTTATTCTTGGACAGGGTCTCTCTATGTAGTCCAGGCTGGCCTCAAACTTGCAATCCTTCTGCCTTAGTCTCCCAAGTACTAGGACTACAGGCATGCAGCAATATCAGGATCTTGATGAGGGATCGTGTATCACTGCTGTGTTAGCTATTTATGGTTGTATAGCAAATGCCTCACTACAAATAACATGCGTGTATTGTTTCATGGTTCCTGTGAGTCAGAAACTTGGGTGCCACTTAGTCAGTGGCCTTGGCTCAGGGTCTCCCCCAAGGCTGCAGTCAGGGTATCCTCTGGGCTGCTGTCATCTCAGGGCTGACTCAGGCTCATTCTGGTATGGCTCAGCATGTGCCATTCCCTACCCCACTGGCCCCTCAGTAGAGCTACTCTGCACTGCACTAGACTCCTTCGGAGACCCCATGTGAGGGGTGGATGGAAGGCACCCAAGACAGGACCCGTAGGATGTTGTCACTTGACAGTAGAAATGGCTTCCTGTCACATTTGCCATACTCTGTTCATTAGAAGTTAGTCAGCAGACCCAGCCTGTACTCAAGGGGATGAAGACTAGGAGGTCAGCATCCTGAGGGCCACACACAGCCTACCTGGCGCGACAGTCCTTCATTTTCCGTTTTTGGGTCCCATGGGTGCCTGATTTCAGACATTTGTTGGCATCTCCACTCACCTTCTGCCACCAGCCAGACCCGGGCCCTGTTCACCTCTGGAGCCCTGGGTTCTAATGCCCTCTTTGATTCTTCTTTGTAGGCCTCTAACTCTCCCTTCTTCTCCTGTCTCTCCTCACTTGCTCTGTGATGTCTCAGGGCAGCTCTCTGGATCCTACCTCATCGTCCAGGCTTGGGGCACCCCTGGCCCCCATCTCTGTCTGCCCAGCGCCTGCGAGTTGTCCCATCAGAACTGCTCCCAGCTCTGCCGGTCACGTACCCCGCATGACTGCCCACCTGCCTGCTGGTCCCCATACTTGGGCCATCCTCCTTCTACTGCCCCATGCTGAGGCTACTTACAAGCATGTACTTTTCCACTCAGTTCAGTCTTCAGGACCACTTAGGACTTCCTCTGTATTTTTTTTTAAATTTTGAGTCAGAATCTCAGCTGACCTCCGACTTGTGATCCTCCCAATTCAACCTCCCAAATAGCTGTCCTTACAGGTGTGCACCACCTGGACTCCAGACCTTCTCAAGCACCTCCCCTCCATCCTCACTCCCAGCTCAGAAGATAATATCATTCCTCTTCTCCCAGTACAGAAATCTACCCACTGTTCCCTGGTTCCCTGTCACCCTCAGGATAAACTTCCCACTCATTAGCCTGGCATTCCAGGCCCTGTTTTCCCTCAGCTCCCCATCCCCAACTCCCAGCTTCTGTCTTGCCACCCTCTTCTCCTGTGTAGTCTGTTGCTGGGCCACAAGGGACAATTTACCATTTTCTATACCTGTGTGTGCATCTGGGTCTGGAAGGCATCAGGAAACCCTTTCCACCTTCCAGGTCCAATTCAGTGTGTATCTCTTCTGCGAAGCTTCCTCGTTGGCTTTAGGAAGGAATCGCTGGTTGGCTCTGGTCACTTCTCGGCTTCTTTTCATTTACAGTTAAAATTTTTGTTTCTGTTTGGCTGCTGGGGTCTGTGCACTGCTCCAGGGCAAGGATTCTGCCTCATTCACATGTTGGATGGATGGATAGGGGGATGGATGGATGGATGGATGGATGGATGGATGGGGTTCTGTGGACCCCTGCCCTGGAGAAATACTTTATTTTATTCCTTTTTTTTTTTTTTGTATGGGGGATCGAACTCAGGACCTTGAGCTTGCCAGGCAGGCACTGTGCTGCTGAGCTAAATCCCCAGCCCTGGAGAAATACTTCAGAGCAGAGGCTTTGGCATCAGAGGCTTTTAGATTCAAGTTCAAATCTTGGGTTTACCACTTATTAGCTGTGTGACCTTGGACAAGCTGCAAAACTTTTCACAATCTTGGTTTCCTTTAAAGTAAAATGGAGACAATAACACTTCACTGGACTGTTGAAGAAACAGGAAAATAGAGTTCAGCTACAGTGTCTTGCTGAATGTGTGTTGAACACTGGCTCATTATTATTGGTGGAGAGTAGTCTGGGTCAGAGGTGGGAGCTCTGAGCAGAGCCCATTTCCCTGTGTGGCTTCTTTGTCTTGCCCGTCTGAAAGGCACAGAGGGCTGCCTGTTCCTACTGTCTGGGCTCCTGCTCCTCCCTGTCAGAGCTGGGGTATAGCGGAGGCACCTTGCCTGGTACTCCAGGTGCCACTCTGGACAGTGCTGCCACCTTGGTCCCTCTGCTGCTGGGAAGCAGTGTCGAGTGCAGAGGAGTGGAAGGCATCTTCCTGTGGGTTGGGGATAGGAATCTGTTCTAGGGCCTGCCCACAAACCTGCTTCTCTGCCTGCTTCAACCTTTTGGTTTTCCTCCCAGCCACCACAGGGTCCAGGGACCAGAGCCCCGCAGTTGTTGTCACTGTGGTAACCATCTCAGCCCTCCTCGTCCTAGGCTCTGTGATGAGTGTCCTGGCCATTTGGAGGAGGTAGGTGACTGATCCCAGGCTGAGTGACCCTGGTGAGTCTGTTCCCCTGTGCACATTAACGTATGCTCATGGTTACCTGTATCCGCACCTGCTTTGCACACATGCAGATTTGCGCGCACACATGCACTGCTGTGTAGATACAGCCGTGACCAGTGTGGCCCCTCCCCCTATGCACTGCTCCTGCAGCAACCACCGCAAGGAGCTCAGCCACTCTAGGATGAGGGGGATTTGGCTCCTTAACTCATTAAATGTCAGAAGGCATCACTGAGGATGGAATCAAGCTCTGGCTGCTCCAGTGTGATTAGGATTCTCCTGAGATGTTCAGAGCCCCCAGCCCCTGCCTCCACTAAACACAAGCAAAGAGAAGAAATGCAAAAGTGTGTGTATGCATGTGCTCACTCTAGTATGGGGAAGACAGGGTGGGGACCCCATAAGCCATAAACTCTCCACCCAAAACAGAAGGAAGCTCGCAGGACAGTGGCAGAGGAAGGCATGGGGTGGGTAGCTGTAGAGCTTGAGTCTGGAAGAGAGAAGATTCTGGTCCTTTTGCATGCAGCACAGGGCTCACCCTTGGCTCTCCCCAGGGCTGTACTCTGCTGCTTGCAGAGGCCCCCAGGTGGTAGCAGGCTGGGGCTGAGGTCAGCAGACTGGAGAGCCTGGAAGTCTGTATGTGATGGGTGGTAATGGGAGAAGAGGAGAAATGGGCTGGCCAGGGAGGCTTGTTTCAGCCCACACAGCCACCTGGGACCACCTCTGGGCTGCGGGGCAGTTACGTGATTTGGCACTGCTTGTTCCCATGGCCTCCACTGACAGTGATTGAAGGCGGAGTTGGGAAGGCAGGCCAAGAGCAGGCGTGCTGAGCTCCTGGAGCTGAAAGGCCCGCAGGTATATGCTAGACCTGTTGTGAAGGAGAGAGCTTCCATCCTGGTTTTGGGTGTAGACTCAGGAGGCAGGAGGAAGGGGAGACAGCAAAGGTGCTGCAACCCCAGAGCAGACCCAGGAGTGCTGAGGAGCCAGGCAGTGAGCCAATGGCAGGGCTCACACTCACTGCCGCTGTCACTGTCAAGCTGCCTTGCCATGGGGAGAAGTGGTGGGGCCGGGCTTTGAGGGCTCGAGAGGCATGCATCCCCGCCTCGCAGACTCTGGCGTCTCCCACCTCGCCCTCTCCATGTCTCTCAGTGCCTGCTCTGTGCTGTGGTCCCCTCGCCTCTACCCAGTTCCCTCTGTAATCCATCCTGGCTCACTCACTTCTCACTGAGCTCTTAGCTGTCATCATTGCATGGTTTTCTTTTCTTTGCTTTGCTTCTTTCTTCTTCTTCTTGTTTTGTTTTTGTTTTTGTTTTTTTGAGACAGGGTCTCACTATGTAGCCCAGGCTGGCCTTGAACTCATGGCAATCCTCCTGCCTCAGCCTCTGGAGTGCTGGAATCACAGGTGTGCTTCACCACACCTCGTTTCACAGTGTGGTTTTCTCCTAACCTTGCAACCCTTATACTCCTGCGTCTATTCCACCTTCCCCTCCTCTCCTGGGTGTTACCCTTCCTGCATGGAAGTCCCTCACATCAGTCACCACCCTGGGTGACCTCAGTAGCTGACTTGCCCTCAGTTCTTTACTCCCAGGGACTTTCTCTGCTGTCTCCCAGCCCGCTGCACATCCCCCTAGGCCACGCCCCCCACCCCCAGCGCACGGTCCAGTTCTTCTCCTTGGGGTCTGCAAATGCCCTCCCCTCGCAGCTCACCCTCAGCCACATGTGGCCTGTTCTCCAGCCTCATCATTGGCCTCTCAGCTTCTCACCACCAGGCCTGCAAACCCGCGCACTTCACACCTCCCCTCCCCTCCTTGCTCTGGAGGAGGAGCCTCCCTTCTGGCCTGGCTCAGTCCTCCTACCCAGGACAGAGCCCTGCCCCTATATCCCATCCCAGAATCCCTTCTTTTTTTTTCTTTGGTACCAGGGATTGAACTGTGGTCCTTGAACTTTCGAGGCAGGCGGCGGAACCACTGAGCTAAATCCCCTGAGCTAAATCCCTGGCCCCCAGAAACCCTTCTTGCTGATAACGCTCCCTGCCCCCCACATAATAGCAAACATCTACTGAGGCTTAGTGAGTGTATTAGGGTTCTCTAGAGGAAGAGTCAACAGAAAATATACGTATAATTAAATGTTCAAAAGTACTAAAACAAAAATTTAAAGGGGAAAACAACCCCAAAGTATTGTATATAGTCGCTAAATTTCTTGCATCTCACAAGCGGTGAGTTAGGATAATCAAATGGATCTATGGTGCACATCACTTTAAACAGTTCACAACATCGACTATCAGTGCTCTCTATGTCATCAGGAGAAGGTGGCAACTTTAGGTCTCATCAGAGGTCTAAATGTGTATTTATTTATTTTGTTTTTTGGTACTGGGGATCGAACTCAGGTCCTTGAGCTTTTGAGGCAGGAGGCGGAACCACTGAGCTAAATCCCTGGCCCCTAAATGTATACTTTTTATCTCCAGGAACTCTACTGAGCACCTTTGCCATCTTCCTTTCTGCCATCCAGCCATCTCCAACCCCTGAGGCCCTTCACATTTCTGTTCCTGACTTGGTCTCCCCACAGCCTGAGCCACTACCGGCCTCCTGCAGAGACCACAGAGCACCCTGCACTCAGCAGCTGGGATGATCTTTCTAAAATGCAAATTGAATCACAGCACTCCCCTGCTTTGGGTCCCCAAGCACTGCCTCTGCTCCTAGAATAAAGGGCAGTGTCTTTATCTGGCCCAGCAAGACCCTGCCTGGGGGCAACAAATGCTCGCCTGTGGCTCTGTTGATTGCGCTCAGGCCTTTGGTCCATGACTGCCTCTTGTCTCAAGATTTCTGTGATGGTCCCAGTGGGTCAGGTGGTCTGCTGTGGTCTCTTGTCACTGCCTTCTCCTTTGTTTGTACCTGTATGTGTTTTCCTGAGGACAGGACCTGCCTGTCTCCCCTCTTTCCCCAGGATGCAGTCAGAGGTGTGGATTTGGGAGCCTCTGGAGTCAGGAGCATTTTCATTGTATCTCACAGTGAAAATAACTAGGAAAGTTGAGGTGCGGTAAGGGCCAGGTGGGGCTTGTTGTATTCATGCTATGGAGAAGAGGTTGCCAAACTATGGAGAAGGAGGATGGGGTAGCAAAAAACAAAAATTAAAAAAGAAATAGAGAAGGAACGATAGAGAAGTTTTCAAACCAGCAGAACAAGAAGGTCCCTGTCCCTCCCCAGGGACTTAGGCCTTGTTATTGGGACACAGAAGTGTTTTCCTGGGTGCTGAAGTGGGAAGGCTGGGGTGGCCTGGTGAAAGGGTTCTCTGTGCCCGCAGGCCCTGCAGCTATGGCAAAGGAGGTGGCGACGCCCATGATGAAGAGGAGCTATACTTCCACTGTGAGTTGTGGGGTCGCTCTGCTCCTTGGCCTTACACACACACACACACACACACACACACACACACACACACACCACCCACCCCCCAGCAATGGAGGCCCTTTCCTCAGCCTCGGGCTTTCTCTCTCCGTGTTCTCAGTCAAAATCCCAACACGTCGCACTTTCCTGGACCCCCAGAGCTGCGGGGACCCACTGCAGGCTGTGCATCTGTTCACTAAGGAGCTGGATGCAAAAAGTATCACGCTGGAGAGGAGCCTTGGAGCAGGTGAGCTGGGCACCCTGGAAGCTCCCCACACAAGCCACACCCACCAAGAAACCACGCTCTTCGGGTTCCACCCACCCAGATGCACACCCCCACCCCGCCCCTGCCTCCTGTCTCTTGTCAGCCAGGCTCCTCTTAAGTCCTAGACCCAACTCTGGAGGCCCTTCTCCAGTGAGCCTGCCCTCTACCCAGAAAGCCTCTTGCCCGCCAGAGGGGTCTGTGACTCTGCCTCCCCTCTCAGGTCCCCAAGGTCACTCCATCCAGTCCCACTCAGGGTCAGCCGCTGCAGTCTGCTGCTGGCCGCCTAGTCCCTGGCCTTCAGGAGGCAGTGGGAGGGGCCCTTATAAGCTGAATTCTAGTCGTGGCGCTGCCACCAATGAGCTGCATCACCAGAGCACGATCCTGTTCTGCGTTGAGCCTCAGTTTCTCATCTGTAAAATGGGCATGACCTCTGCCTCATCCAGGTGATGTGAGGCTTGCTTGCTCAGGGCAGTCTCCTCCTGCCTTTCTACCTGTCCACGAGCCCTCAGCCCCACATTCAAAGAAGCCTAACACTTTCACTGGAAGCCTGACACTTCTGACACTGTCGCCAGACCTGCTGCACAAAAGGCAGAATAGATGTCATCATCATCTGTTCTGGTTCAGGCTGGGTTTAATGGCCTTGAGGGGCTGGCATGTGCAATGCCCTGTCCAAAGCTTTACAGAGAAGGAAACTGAGGCCCAGAGAGGGAGAGGTGATTACACTGCTAGTACTGAGGTAACCAGGATTGGAACTCAGGAGTTCCACACCCCAGGCCAGAGTTACTTTCTCCTCAGTTCAGGCTGCCCCAATGGCTGGGCCACGGCCTTCAGGGGGCTGACTGAGGTGCTGTTTCCCCACAGGACGGTTTGGGGACCTGTGCTGCGGCTGCTTGCAGCTACCTGGCCGCCAAGAGCTGCCTGTGGCTGTACACACGCTCAGAGATGGCTGCTCAGACTCGCAAAGGCTCAGCTTCCTGGCTGAAGCCCTCACCCTGGGCCAGTTTGACCATAGCCACATTGTGCGACTGGAGGGAGTTGTCACCCGAGGTAGGCCTGCCCGGTGCTCCCCTTCCTGCCACCCCTGGAAGCGGAAATGACAGCTTTGTGGGGGCGGGGGGGCTGGGGAGGCTCTAGAAGCCTTGGAGGGAGGCTAGACGTGGGCCTTAGTTTGCTTTCACTGATTCAGGGTGCCCCCTCTCCTGGCATGGTCACTCACCTGGCTTATAGTGCCACTGGGGGGTTGAAATGCTGACCTTGGGTGATCTTAGCTAACTTGTAGTTCCTGACCTTGGCCTCTGTTCCCCTGCAGACACCTCTTTTGTTCTTCTGTCTGGGGGATGCTGGGTTGGGCAGGAGAGGAGCAAGATTAGGGAGCTTGACTTTGGTTCTGGCCATGTTAGCCAAGATAGAGCCCCATAGGGAGAATATGTATGTGCACAAAGTAGCCAGGAAACTTAGCACATGTGTCCCCATCTCTGGCACAGGAAGCCCCTTGATGATCGTTACTGAGTACATGGGCCATGGGGCCCTGGACAGCTTCCTCAGGGTGAGTGGCCTGGGCCCTGGGGGGTACAGATGACCAGCTTATTCTTGGTCCTTCACTTTCTCCTTGGTGGGCTTGGAATTGGCATCGTTCCCACTGGCCAGGGTGACCTCGGGGTCACAGGGTAACTGAAGCCCAGTGAGGGCTGAGTGATCTCCTTGGAGTCCACAGCACCAGGAGATCTGAGCACAAAGGCCTGGGCTCAGTCTCCCCCCATCCCGCAGCATCATGAGAGGCAGCTGGTGGCTGAGCAGCTGATGGGGCTCCTGCCTGGACTGGCATCAGCCATGAAGTATCTGTCGGAGATGGGCTACGTTCACCGGGGCCTCGCCGCCCGCCGTGTGCTGGTCAGCAGTGGCCTCATCTGTAAGCTCTCTGGCTTTGGGCGGGGCCCCCGTGACCGAGCCGAGGCTGTCTACACCACCATGGTGAGGGTTCTTTTCCCCAGGAATCTTGGTCTGCCCACGCCCTGCCCCTTTCCTACTGTCAGGGTCCTTCCCCACCCTGCCCTTCCACCAAGTTGGTCCTGAGTTAATGCCTCTGTGGGTCCTGCCCTGTGGTCAGCTGGGATACCTTCCACAAGTGTGAAGCTGGGAGTGGGGGGCTGACTAGGAGAATGACAGGCAGGGCTGGATGTGGGGTGGGGAAGACTGGCTGTGACTCAGTTCCTGCCCACCCTTGCCTGCCTGCCCACCGACAGAGTGGCCGGAGCCCAGCGCTCTGGGCTGCCCCTGAGACACTTCAGTTTGGCCACTTCAGCTCTGCCAGTGATGTGTGGAGCTTTGGCGTCGTCATGTGGGAAGTGATGGCCTTTGGTGAGCGGCCCTACTGGGACATGTCTGGCCAAGATGTGAGTGACCTGTGCCTCCAGCTGCTTGACTTCTTCCTCTCATCCTTTACTTCCTAGCTCCAGGTCCCCTTTCTCTGTTTACTTGCTTCCCATCCTGCCCAGCCACTAGCTGAGTCTTCCTTGGACTGCAGTGTGTGTATGTGCATATATGTGTGTCTGTGTCTGTGTGTGTATGTTTGGGGGGCCTGAAGCCTCCTGTCTGCTCCCCATCACCGTGGCCCAGGTGATCAAGGCCGTGGAAGACGGCTTCCGGCTGCCGCCCCCTAGGAACTGTCCCTCCCCTCTGCACCAACTGATGCTTGACTGCTGGCAGAAAGACCCAGGCGAGCGGCCCAGGTTCTCCCAGATCCACAGCATCCTGAGCAAGATGGTGCAGGACCCAGAACCTTCGAAGTGTGCCACAACCACCTGCCCCAGGTACCTTCCCATCAGTCCCAGCCATACCAGATTCAGCCGATCTCTCACCTGTCCACAAATTGCTTCCCCAGCATCCCAAATACCCCTCACCTGTCCGGGCGCCACCACTCCACAGGTTGGATCTAACACTCCCACCTATCTCGGGTTCATCTTACCTCATGGACTCTGCCCCACATATCCCCGTGTAGTGACCACTGACTGGATAAATATATTTATAGTGCACCCCCCAAACATAGTTCCAATAAATAAGTGAATTTAATATCACTTGTTCCAAATATGTCACTGCCATTGCGTCCTAGGTATATCTTAGCCTATCCCAGATACTACCAGTCCCTTTAGCTGGCCCAGCTCTCCACCTGCCTGAGTACCCTGGGGCTTGCCTCTTCCGGCCTGCAAAGTGCCTGTGTGAGCCAGGCCTGTCCCCGGGGCTTGGCTGCCTTCCCTTTCCCCATCTTTCCCAGGGGAGCACTAGGTCTGGGCACCAGATCCCGCTGTCGGCTGACCACAGCTCCTCCTCTCCAGGCCTCCCACCCCGCTGGCGGACCGTGCCTTCTCCACCTTCCCCTCCTTTGGCTCCGTGGGGGCCTGGCTGGAGGCCCTGGACCTGTGCCGCTACAAGGACAGCTTCTCGGCAGCTGGCTATGGGAGCTTGGAGGCCGTGGCTGAGATGACCTCCCAGTGAGTCTGAGAAGCCAGGGCAGGGACACTGCCCCTACTAGATGGGAAGCCCCTGCCTGTCCTGATTCTGGCCCTGCCCCTTCCAGAGAAGGGAGGGAGAGCGGGGGCTGTGTGGGAGGAGCAGAAGAGGGATTGACCAGTTAGGTCTGAGCAGCCCTTGTTCCAGGGACCTGATGAACCTGGGCATCTCCTCGGCTGAACATCGAGAGGCCCTCCTGAGTGGGATCAGCGCTCTGCAGGCTCGAGTGCTGCAGCTGCAGGGCCAGGGGGTGCAGGTGTGAGCACCCCCTTTCTTCCAAGGCAGGCCCAGCAGGGGCCAGACCCCAGTCCTGCCCAAGGACCATGGCAAACTCCACTCCCCCTGGGTGGGAGCGAACACTCCCTTCCTCCCCTGGAGCCCAGAGCTGGTTTGGGGCCACAGTGTCCCCATTTTACTGCCTGCTTCTCCCATTTTCCCCTCTGACTTAGTGGCCGTGGAAAAGAGGTTCAAACCATGGGGAGGAAATTCAGGGCCTCAGGGACAGAGCTGGGGTGGAGATGGGGAGACAGTAGATTTTGCCTGCCCTGGCTCATGCTCTTCTGTCTTCCATACCCACTAGAGGTTGGGGCCTCCCCAGTGGGTGTCCCCTTTTCCCACAGACTTGTCCAGTCAGATAGCTCTGGGCGTCCTGCCCATGTGGGACTGTGCTGGAGGGGCAGGCTCCTTACCTGCTGTGCCCCAGCTGGCTGAGGTATGCCTGGACACTGGTCTGAGGCCCAGGGAGGTGAAAGTGGTGCTGAGCTCAGGCCCAAGACTCAGGAGCTAACTGTGTGCTCACCATGAGGCGGCGGTGCAGAATGAGGGAGAGGGTCCTGGCTGGGCCGCATGGTCCCAGGGCTCCACAAGGCTCCCCATTTGCGTTCATTTTATGAACTGACTTGGAAAAGCATGAGGGACATGTTCTCTCCGTGGAGATCTAAGAGCCTTGGTCTCCAGCCTGGAGAGCTGTGAGGAGGACACTCAGAAGCCGATCTCTGACAGGGTGCTCTAACCTGCATCGTGGGATGGGGAAATCAGAGCCTATGAGACTCAGGGCCAAAAGTGAGGTTGGAACCCCATCTAGGGAGGAGGCTGGTTCTGGGGGAAGTCCTTGGCCTTGCCATGTGGCCCCAGCCCTCTTTTGTGAGACATCCCAGTGGATGCTCTAGAGGTGACTCCTACCTGCTGTGCCCCTGAGCCCCACCTCCATAGGGCATCTCCTCCCTCTGGCTTCTGCAGAGCCCTGGGGTTGTGGTCCTGTTGAGCTGATTCCAGAGGTCCTTATCCAGAAGGGCCCCGCACCAGTGGTGATTGTGTGGCCAGGGCTGTCATAGGAGGACAAGAAGGCTGCCGGATGTGGTCAGGGCCATGGAGGCAGTTTGGTCATGTCACCCGTGACAGTTGCCTGCTCTGGTCTGGCTGTGTGGGGCTGGGGTGGGCTGGGCTGGGCTGGGCAGGGTGCAGGAGACACAGAGCCTGGCACTAGGGGCTCAGGCTGGCAGGGAGATGAGCTCAGGCACCAAGAAGTTATCAAGCTGCATTCCACCAGTGGCCAGGATCCCACAGGAGCCCTTGAGGTCAGCAAGAGGGTGGGCTGGAGGCACTGATGGACATGCTCTTGACGTGTATATTGAGGACTGTCCAGAAAGGCATTTTAGCTGCAGCAGAAGTTAGCAGAGCCTTGGGGAGGGGGAGGTCTTTCCTTGGGGTGGGTGGAGATCTCAGCAGGCCAAGGGAGCAGACTTAGAGCTGCAGGACAAGGGAGCTGGACAAAGGGAATCTCAGCAGGGACTCACTGAGAAGGAGCCAAAGGGCTGAAAGGCATAGAGCATCTTTGGGGAGGACCTGTGATGGAAGATGGTCACTCCCAGCAGTACCTTTGGCCCCATCCTGCCACCAACAGCTTCTCCTTCTTTGGAGCCCCTGGCCCCACTCCAGGCTACCCCTCCTCTGAGATCTGCCTCAACTAAGTGGCTTTGGGGGTAATGGGGCAAACTAAATACTGCTTCCACCTTTGGCAGGGCTGGCGGTCTCCTGCCAGGTGCCCCTGAGTCTCTCCCTTCATCATCCCCCCCAGGGAAGCCTGGGGACCAGCACCCTGTCTTGGGTGGACAGAACCTCATCCCCCTCACCAGCCACGTCATTCTCTTAAGGTCAAAGTGCTCCCTCCCCCACCTCTTCTGTGGAGGGTTTCCAGGCTGTGTTGGAGGACTTCGGTGTCCAGGGTAGATCTCTCCTCCACTGAGGAGTGAGGTCCAGAATTGCTATGGGTCTCGGGCCTTAGCCCCGTGCAGGTGCTGACCTGATGTAGGGTGATGGGTCTCGGGAGCCCTTTAAAGATCTATTTTTATATGGAACTTGTTCACTGGACAGAAAGAGGTGGCCTGCAACCCTCATCGCCCCTGTCTGGGCCCAGCCAGGGAGGGAAGGGGCCTGTTGGGAGGTGACTAATTTTGGAGATGTTTTTATATTTCTTGGGTTCTATATGCAGGACAAATAAAAACTTGTCTGTGATGCTGTGCCTCTTTGAGTGGCAACTGTTTAACCTCTGAGCAGTTTGTGGGTCTCTGCACCCCTTCCTGGGAGGGGGTATCCAGAGTGTACAACTGAGGTCCCTCTGCATGGATGTGAAACAGACCCTACTCCTTTCATGAAATATGTCACAGGCTAGTGGGGACACTTTTAGGGACCAAGACATAGTGTGGTTAGGGTGTAAGGAACACTTAGGGTGCCCTGGCGCTGTAGGAAACGGTGTCACCCGGTTTCCAGAGCAGTAAACCAAGGACAACACCCCTGAGGAGTCAGTGCCCTTTCCCTAGATAGGTGCTGTCGGGGGCAGGGGCAGGAAATCAGTCCGATGCGTGTTCAAGATGCTGGTGGGATGAGCAGGCTGAGATGTCTGGGACGCAGGTGGACCTCTGGGTCTAGAACTTGAAGCGCAGATATCAGCTAGTGACAGAACTTTGGGGTCTGAAGCCACAGTGAAGAGGTCGCCTGGGTCAGTACGTGCAGGAGAGGGGAACCTAGGGAAACTCCAGCATTAGGAGCTAACTGGATGGAGGGGGCAGGAGGGAGAATGTGAAGAGTGAGGAGCAGTGGGAGGGAGGCAGAGGGCCAGAAGATCTTATGCCATCGCAGCCAGCCCAAGGAAGTGTGATTATTGTGTGAAATAGAAACCAGGCAGCAGAGGACGAAGAGTGACTGTGAGTCTGTGTATTTTCAGGGACTGGATCTGTTTGTTTGGACTAATGTCATAAGGCACTGGAAACTGGGTGGTCTAGCCAATAGGAACCGACTGCAAGATCAGGGTGTCAGTAGGGTTTTTCCTTCTGAGCGTTGTGAAGGAGGATCTGCTCTGCGTGTCCCTTCTTGGGTTGTAGATAGCTGTCTTCTCCCTATGTCTCTGTTACGACCTTCTGTCTCTGAGCCTCTGTGTCCAGGTTACTCCCTGGTATAGGGACAGCAGCTAGATTGGACTGGTCCATACTGGCCCATCTGAAAGCTTCATTTAACTTAATCTCCCAGTTAAAAATCCTGTCTCCAATTATAGTCACATTCTGAGTTAGTGGGGGTTAGGACTTCAACACCAGAGTCTGGGGTGGGCTCAATTCAACCCCTATGTGACCTCAATTGTGTGTCTGCAGGGCTGGGGGAAGAGTGGCAAAAACCACATGAGAGAACTGGGGTGTGGAGCATGGGAATCTTTTGAGGAGTGCAGCAAAGGCAGGAGGAAGAGTGGTCACCACCCTAAGTTGGTGATGAGAGTGGAATGCAGTGTGAGGCCAGAGTCCTGGAGCAGACCCTGGTGCTGTGTGCACATGGCATGCACGTGTGGGCATGTAGGACGGCCATGTGTGTGCGCTTGTCCCAGCAAGCCTTTGCCACCCTTGTTTGACTTACTAGTGCTTTTCCTCTGCCAGCCTGGCTGCTCTTGTTCACACGCTGTGGAAGACACCTCACTCATCTGCACAGTCCAGGCCATGGGAGGTGTAGTGCAGGGGATTGGACAGTGGTGATCAATAACACCCTGTTCCTCCCCTCCTGTGCCTGGAACCAACCGTGTTCTAATTCAGTGGGACAGATGGAGATCAAAATACCAGCTCCTTGGTAAGCCTGACTAGAGAATGTTGTTCACCATGTTTCTTTGAATCTAAGATGCCACTGAGTGTTAAGGTATACTGCTAGGAAAGAAACATTCCAGCCAGTTAAACCATGTCGTGCCATCTGGTTGGCAGACGCATCCTATTTTCAAAGACATCCAAATGTGTAAAATGTACATCTCTAGGAAGTGAGGTATGGTATGCTTGGGACAATTTCTCATCATTCCCCTGAACTAGGCCATCCAGTGCCAGGCTGACCAGATGGCACAGGCCTCCTCTGCCCACTCAGCTGTCACATGGTGAGAGGAAGACCAGGGTTCCTTTCTTGTGGGCAGGCAGATGTAGAAGAAGACAGATGCCACTGATTCAAGCAGGTTCTTCCTTCTCCCCTTAGTTCCATTAAATAAGCCACTGCCTCCCATGAGGAGGAATAGATGAAGAGTGGGTTAGAGATGCTAGGAGCATTGCTCTGCTGAAGCTGGTCACAAGACAGCATGCAACCAGCGAATGGAGGAACCACCACGTTAACACAGGCCTGGTTCCCAGGATGCACTGAGTATTAATATGAGCAAGGTGTGAGCCACCAGGCAGACCTACCATGTATGGTCAGGAAACGGGCAGTGACTTCTCTGGGCAGTGAGCCTGCCGATGTAGTTTGTCCGCTCAGTGAGCATGTACCAGGCACCTACTAGTGGTCAGCACTGGGAAGTTAAGACTTCACTGCTTAATGGAGGAATCAGTTAAGTAAAAAGCATGAGAGGCTTGGCAATAGGGACTGACTCTAAGCATTCAGGAGAGCGCTGCCTGACTAGTCCCTGGGAAGGAGGGAGGGGGCCCCCGGGGGAAAACCCAGTGGTGAGTTCACTGCCTTTGCTAACTTGTACCTGAGTTCTGGACTTCAGAAAAGGGCACCTCAGCACCTAACATCACACCCATTACACTGTTCAGGAGGCGAGTGAATCTTACCATACTGCATCATCTTCAACCTCTGTATACTCTTGCCATTTAAATTAAAGTGCCTGCCAGTATCTTTTTTTTTTTTTGGTACTGGGGATCGAACTCGGGTCCTTGCACTTGTGCAGCAGGCAGCGAAACCACTGAGCTAAATCCCTGGCCTGTGCCAGTATCTTTTTAAAATCCTGCTGTTTTCCTTAGGAATGTCCCACCTGTTTTACTAGGTGGGGCTCTGAGGTCTTGGAGCAACAGAGAAAAGTCAGAAACTGATTCCCAACATGGATGACCTCATGATGCTATCAACATCTTGGCAGCAGACAAGGGAGATGCTTTGACCAAAACTACTTTACATATGTGTACAAAAGAAACTGAAAATCCAAATTTGTTTCCCTGTTGCAAACACCTTACAGGTGTTCTGCCTCCATTACGTTCTTCTTTTTTTTCCATTACATTCTTCTTGACCACCAGCTGGCGCATTCTGAAGCATCAAGATGGGGCTTGTAGAGGCAAACATGAAAATATTATTACACAAACCCTAATATCAACCAAGGGAAAGTTGACAGCAGTGTAGAGACAAGTCCTAGCAGGCTGTCGGGTGGGGAGGGGCAGTTGGAGAGAGGTGACATATTTGATAGGTAAGATGGTATAGGAAGGATAAAAGGGTAAAGAAACATCACATCCTGTCCACAGAGATGGCATTTAGCTAAAGCACTTGAGTAGTTCCCAATTCTGATTGAAACTTTTTGTGTCTTTCAGCACTTCTATTTCTGAAACCACATAAATTATCTAGTATAAAAGTCTTAAACACGCATCATGCTGAATTTTAAGTGTGGGACAGTTATTGTGTAAGATAAAAAAGGAGTGGGGCCAGGGATTTAGCTCAGTGGTTTCGCCGCCTGCTGCACAAGCGCAAGGACCCGAGTTCGATCTCCGATACCAAAAAAAAAAAAAAGGGGAAAGCACTTATAAGAGGTTATGTGTACTTTAGGCATTGAGATACACTTGCTTTTCAGTGGTCATGAGGGCATACCGAAGAGGTAAGTCCTGCATTGGTATGTTGTCAACTATCATTGGTGGAGATGGGTTAATTTCTCTGAGAAGGTTGTCTGGTGATTTGAAACAATGCCTAAGTGATAACCTCTTCTCACCCACCCACCCCCATGAATTAGCTCTTCATATGAGTAATCTAACTCTTCATAAGGCAATACGTTCAACAGAAAGCCCCAGGTAGGCTTTTGGGAATGCCCTGTAGGGGAACAAGGAACCTACTCTTTATTGGAACTCTGGAGGTCCTTGAGTCTGCCTAGAGGTCCTGGAGGAGGACTCCAGGCTCCCATCTTCCCTTTGCCCAGAGCAGCTCTGCTTTGAGTTGTTTTATACCCATAGAAAATGGCCCAAACTCAATTGCCCAGAGAGAGTGGAGGTAGGTGACATCAGAGGAAGAAGTAATCCCATAGGGATTTCCTTGAGCCAGAAGAGGATTCTCTAAGGCTAAGGGAAGCTGCTACTCCCCTCTAGCTGACTGTGGGCCTGTGTTGCCAGATCTTATTTTTGGAGGCTAGCATCTTTGTGAAATATCCCTATTTTTAAAATTGCTAGCAACTGAGATGGAAGCAAATGGCAATTCTAGGCAGAAGGCATAGGCTTATTTTGCCAAAGAAAACACTGAAGTTGCACCCCTATTTTGCAAAAACTATCAGTGTTTGGGAATGATTCTGATGATGATGATGACAATTCTGTGAGTGACAGTGTTCAGAAGGGAGCTGCTGAGAAGCAGGCCATGAAACAGACCAAACGGGAATACAGAAGCCCCTTGCAGAAGACTACACTGTATATAAATAATGCCAGTATTTATGATGAGATGCAGGAAGAAAAGGAGGACAGTAATCCCAATTACTTTTGGGAGAAGAGTGAAAGCCCAAGTATACCCACAGTTTACTAAAAGCAATTGAGATGAGAAAAAAGAAACAGGAATAAGAATGGAAAATACAGAGAACAAGAAATGGAAAAATAAAAATTTGATTATCGATAAAGAGGCATTTGTGACATCTGCTTATTTAAAAAAAAAAAACTGCAAGAGCTGAAGAAAGAAAGAAAGAAAAAAGGCTGCCACACTAGAAACAGAAGGATCTCAGTGGATTTTATAGGCATCTACTAAAGCAGCTGGTGAAGAAGTACTAAAATGCAGCTTTCACAAAGACATTCTAGAATGAAGTTAGAGAAATCAAGAGGTTACTCAGATGAAATAAATTAAGAGAGCAGAATACCACAGGAGAAATGAATTCTCCAAACTTGTGTAAAGGAGGGGGAAAACCCAGTTCCAGACAGTGACTTTGAAACTAAGTGTGAAGACAGAAGAGAAAAGGTCAGAGACTTCCAGGAATTACTCCAAGCATCACAAGAATCAAACCCATTCATCTAGTGAAGAAGCATAGTGCCAAACACGACACCAAAAGTTCCAAGTCAGGACGGCATGAGAAAAAGGAAGGTCAGCACCGAGAGGCAGGAAAACTCCAGAGGCCAGGAAAGCTATTATATTGACCATGACCACCAAAGAGCAAAGAGTTCTCATAGGTCCAGAGAAACCAGTCATAGAGATTCCCACCAGAAGAGGCATGAACAAGAAGCTAAACCCAGGGGGAGAGACCAGAGAGAAAGAAATGTCAGAGTAGAAAAGGGAGAAATATTCTTCAGGAGAACGAGACAAGACAATGAAATGATCACGACTGATACAATGAGAGAGATGGGAAGAGAGGAGCAAAGAAAAGGAAGAACACATGAAAGGAAGGAAATATATGAAAATAATGGTAAATACAGAGATAGGAGAAAAGAAGAAGTATTCAATCTTTAGAAAGAAACCACAGAAAAGGCAGATCAAATTCTAAGGCAAAGGCAGTTTCTTGACCAGGAGAGATCCAGCAAAATGAGGAACATGGGAAAGAAGAAAGAAACCAAAACTCCTCTGGAGTCGAGCATTACTGAGAGCAAAGCACAGACTCATAGAGGAAAGGCAAAAGCAGGGGAAAGAACAAGGGACCACAAAAGGCAGTGAGCAAATTTGCAAAGGTGAACAATGAAGCAACTGTAGTGTCAGCTAGGGGGAGCACTTGTCCAGGAAAATGGCATGAGAAAGATCAATGGCTGCCCCAATACAAGCATCTGTGGAACATGGAACATTGTGATTTCCAGGACTTGCTTTAAAGGCATAAAGAAAGGTATTAACAGTAGTTGGAGAAGGGTATTTCTAAATATATTTTTTAAATTCATTATTTAAGTTTAAATCAGAGTCAGTCCTTTTATCTTGACTGTTTGGAGATATGTACATAACATTTCATTATCAATACCATATTCTTGGTTGTATTCAAGAACCATAAAAGTGTGCTAATCCCAAGTTACTTGATGAGGAAAATTGTCTCCAATACAATCATTCAAAAGTGAACAACTCGGGCCGGGGATTTAGCTCAGTGGTTCCGCTGCCTGCCTCGCAAGCACAAGGACCCGAGTTTGATCCCCGGTACCAAAAAAAAAAAAAAGAAAGAAAAAGTCTTTGTTAAGCAAAAGTGAACAATTCTAATAATGTTGCTTTTGTTGAGTAGAAGTTTTATAAATACTGTATTTCAGATAAAAGTATGTAAAAATTGAAAAGTAGGAAAAGTTGTTATATTTTATGCTCTGAAATTTGTATTAAAGTATAGATCAAAAATTTTAATGTAGATTAAAAAATTTTAAAAAATTTTTAGAACTGGGCATGGTGGTACATGCCTGTAATCCCAGCACTTGGAAGGCTGAGGCAGGAAGATTGCCATGAATTTGGACTACAAAGTGAGTTCAAGACCAGCCTGAACTACATAGTGAGTCCCTGTCTCAAAAAAAAAAAAATTATAGGAACTTATCAAAAATTTAAAACAAAACAAAATCCAAACCAACCAAAAAAGTGAGGGTAAAATTATGTCTGTGGACTGCCACTTAAGATTGAAATTTTTTTTTTTTTTGCAATATTCCACAGTCCTGTGACATAGTTCAGTCCATGCCTTAAGCTTCTGGGGTAGGGAACTCTTACCTTCTCATCTAGCCTCTTCTAGTCAGGCATGGTGGCAAACGCCTATAATCCCAGCACATGGGAGGCTGAGGCAGGAGGACTACTGTGAGTTTGAGGCCAGCCTGGGCTACATAGTGAGTTCAAGGCTTGCACTACATAACGAGACCCTGCAACTACACAGCAAGACTCTGTCTCAAAAAATAAAAAAAACAGTAACAACAACAAACAAAAGCAAAACAAAAAACCAAACTAGCTTGTTCTATAGTATGGAATGGCCTATCTCAATCACAGGCACTGATTCAGTACCTATTGCATACTAAGCATTTCCTACAACTAGGTTCATCATGGCAGTGGTGTGAATGGTGTGACCAGAGTAAACCTGGCTCTCATGTTGGGTTCTAGCTGCTTCTTGAAGTCAGGCCTTTTTTAGTGCAGCAGTAGAAGAGGACCAGGCAGAAGCCTCAGGTGTGGTTACTTCCTTGCACAGAATAACCTTTACTCTAAATGATGTCACTGAGTTCTCCATTACTGTCTGTGCCCAATAACCTGGCTGACTAATGGCCCCGTAGGAAGAACCCTTGAACACCATGTGCTCTGAGCTGACACTGCAGTGTGGGAGGCCCTAGGAAGGCAGCTCTGCCAGACCCTGGTGACTTGAAGAGTGAGCAGCATGATCACCGAGTCACCCTACTCCTGCTGTTCTGGCCGAGGAAATTTCACTCTGCAGCTTTACTGTAGACAGCCTTGATTTTGTCCTTCTAAATGTAAACATGTAGCTCCTAAAATGAAGGTGTTGGAGAAACCTGCATGGGGGTTGAGGTCACTGAGCCCTGGATCTGGGGTGTGAACCCCCTTCAGGTATCAAAAAGTTTGCCTACAGGAAGGGTTTTCACACCTCCTGAGGAAAGGATTGACTCCCACACTAATAGCTTTAGCTCCAAAACTGTCACCCTTGGGCTGGGGATTTAGCTCAGTGGTTCTGCCGCCTGCCCTGCAAGCAACAAGGACCGGGAGTTCGATCCCCGGTACCAAAACAAACAAAAAAACAAAGGAACAACAACAAAAAACTGGCACCCTAGTTCATGTGGCACAGCTAAAGATATTAACAAAACCAAACCAAACCAGAATTTATTGAAAGTAGGGATACCTTTATTCAGGAAAACAGTATGTACAAAAGTCTTAGGAAAAGGGAGAATAAAACAACTTGAAAACAATTCAGTCTGTGCAGGACTGAATTAATACAAAATATAACAGCCATACAGGAAAAGGCTACGTCCCCACAAGCCTGGAAATGAGAATACTCATTCTCAAATTCTTGGAACCCAGGACACTCTTTGAGGCAGAGGCTACTGAAGCACAAGGTCTCACTGCTGACTTCACATAACTAGTCCATGCCCTGGGCATAGGCTAAACACATGAAATGAGGTCACCAGACAAGTTACACTTGTCCTCCCAATGATCCCATCCCCATAAGCTGCAGTTGGGAGACTCAGCAGGGACCACTGATCAGACAGCTTAGAGACAGTTACTCTGTAGTTGTTCATATAAAACCTTAGACTGCTCTTAAGCCCTATAATTCCTTTATCTAAATTCCCATTAACTAGAGAGGTAGAGATGCAAGACATGGAAGCTGCCTCCAAGCAATTTTTGGTCTTTGATAAACAGGAATAAACAAAAATTGCTGTTCCGAAAATCCACACAGCAGGTGAAAGATTCTAGGGCCTCTTGGTAAACCCCTCACCCCCCTGCACCGAAGGAGGAGAAACAGGAGGGGAGAGGGGAGATGCGCATGTTCCAATCCACCTTGCTCTGCTGTCTTCTCATTTGCGGGTCTGTATGGTGCTGCAGATTTGGGCAAGACGGTTCTAAAAAGAGGAGTTAGAAAGTCACTTAAAGAAGACAGCAGTTGGCACATATGCCCAGTCAGCCATTTGCGGTCTACCCAAGCATAGGTCTGAGTGAATCTTTGCCCTTCCATTCTCTATTTGTATCACACACTAATTAACTTTTTGAAACTCAGTTTTCATCTGAACAAAGGAATAACATATCATCTTAAATGAGACAGTGAAGGTATCACAGGTGTGTTTGGAGGTAGTGGGGCTTAAACATAACTCACAAGATTTGGGTGGTTGGATGTGTGTAGGAACCCAGCTCCACCCTTGTCCCCTTCCATGGGTTTGCCCTTCATGGCTGCACAGAAGGGTGGGCCTACAGTAGTCATGTTTGTATCACATGCTCCCACCTACCACCCAAGATCACAGATAACTGGACCAAGGAGGATTATCTGACCAAACCTGGGCATTAAATTCTTTCTCTTGAGAATTTAAACTAAGAGAGGAAACTGAGCAGGGTTGGCACTGGAACAGTGAAGTTAGAGCTGGAGGTATGATTCCCCAAAGACACACATGAGTCATTGTTAAGGGAGAGCAGAAGCAAGAGCCTTGTGGAGGTTATGGGCTGAGGGAGAATGAACAGGTACAAGAGAAATGAGTGTCAGGCCCAGGGCTAGAGATGGTGCACCAGTGTAGACTCCCATAAACTCTGCTGCTGGCCGTCCCCAGCACTGAAGGCCTAGCTGTTGAGCTCTTTCTTTGACTCTGTGGGAGCCCTTCTAACAACCTCCTTCTTGGCTACTATAAGGAAGTTCCAATTCCTGTGGTCAGGGGGCCCAAGCATACCCTGGCCCTAACTGCCTGAGGCAGAACTTTGTTTTAGAACTTCAATGCCAGGTGCTTGGGAACTGACCAAAACTCTACACCAATATAGGGACTGAGCTGCTGCTATTTAAGTACAAAAATAGTCAAAATCTCTTGGGGGGAAAGAGGTGAGATGGTTTTAAGTATTAAGTATTAGGCCAGACCCAAAGGATAGTCTTAAAGAGAGCTAAACCAAGAAACTAGATGCCTTCTACAGGTGACGATGAATATGAGACTCACTGAGAGCTTCTTAATGTTTCCTAAGGCCTCTGGGTCCAGTTGTGCAATATCAATCCTCTGCAAGTCACTGGCCAATAACCGCATGCTCTGTATGGAGAAAGAGTAGGTTAAACTAGCATGTCCTTTCTCAGACAGGAAGTTCTACCCAGCAGCCCAGTGTGGCCCAGAGGTCCCCTGATATCCTGCTCATGGTGGCTGGGACGGCCAAGATGGACAAGCAGCAAAGTAGGCAGGAGGGGTGTTAGGCCTAAGGAGACAATGACATCATTGGTGCTATTAGTGGCCGCTGGCAGGATTACCTGGGTACAAAGGCATACACATTAGCTTAGAAACGCCATGCAGACCACACTGAGATAAGCCATTCTCCCCTCATGAGGGCTGAGGTCAATAGCTTGCTCTTCTCAGCCCAGAGAAACCAAGGTCAGCTTGCTTCAGAATCCCTGAACATCATAGATTTGAAGATACAACTCATGCTCCTCTTGTTAGATTAGACACATAACCCAGAGGTCCCTTCCTCCGCAGTCCTTTTAAGATCTCTATTATTGTACACATCACAGATGTTATAGTTGAGGACCTATCTAGACTACTGAACTGGGCAGGAATCATGTCTTCACTTTGGGCCTGCTGTAATCACTGGGCACTGGTGGCTGATGAACAGATGGAACCCCGAGTCAGGCAGGGACCTTCCCAGTCTGGCCCTCCAAGTGGAGAGAAAACTGGGTTCTGATGGAGACCATGACCCGTGCAACTAAAAGGACTCTGAGGGAGAGAGGCAGACAGTGCTCAGGAAAGAGAACTACTTCAGTGAGCAGTGCACTTTGGCCTGGTTCCCAGGACAATACTTAACCGCGCCGCCGCCCACTGGCACAGTGAGGGAGATCTCTTTGCTGTCAGCGAGAGGGCTGCCATTGACAGAGATGTTGTAAATCTGCTCTCTGGCTGCTGGAGTGCGGAGGCCTGGGGTCTTGAAGACCCTACAAAGCAGAAAAGCACTGTGAAGATGGTTTTGCAGACTGAATGATACCAGGCGCAGTGAGCCCATCCAACCCACAGCTGGTTTCAAGCTGCAGCTTTAAAATCACACATTTCTAAGAAAGTTCTAAATTTAGAGAAAACATTTTTTTTTTAAAGCAGTAATGACTAAACACAGCTGGAGAAAGGAGGTTGTAATTATCAAACATACATCTAGCAAAAGTCAACCCTCATCTGTGTAAATTTTAGGACTAAAGCTCCACATGGGTGCCAGTCATCCACCCATCCACAGAGCCAGAAATAAACTGGTTAATATGTTCCCGAGAATGGCTAAGTGTTTCTATCAAGGGGAACTTCCCAGGGTCAAAGGAAGATGATGCCAATTAGATCATTAAAATAATTCTCAAACTAACTTTCTCAATGCTTAAAGTGTAGCTATTTTCCTTTAAATGTCTCTTGCTACATGCTCATATGAATAAGCAGAAAAGTGGGAATTAAAAGTGGAAAGCAGGACCAGGGATTTAGCTCAGTGGTTCCACCGCCTGCCTTGCAAGCGGAAGGACCTGAGTTTGATCCCCAGTACCAAAAAAAAAGTGGAAAGCATTGCTGTCTCCACCCCAGAGATAACCACTTCTTGCTCCACTCCCTGGGTAACCACACTTAATTCCTACTGTATCTTTCCAGAAAACCTCCATGTATATAAAGGAAATGGGATCACATGTTACATATATCCAGCAGGCTGCTTGGGAAGGCCATGACCATGTAGCTCTTTCCCTGGAGCACATACACATCCATTCTCTTATAAGGACTATACGGCATTCTCTACTTGGTCAACTAGCCCCTGTAGAAGGTATTATCTTGTGTTGTAAACATGCTCATTCATGTTGGTCTCCAAAAAGGTGGCATCAATTTTTACTGCTATCAAGGGTATAAGCAAATGCCTACCCAGCTTTAAAAAAACTTCTGACCAGAATCAGAAGCCAAGAGTCACACAGAAGTCTCCTAATCAGCACAAGCAGAATGTCCTCCTTTCTTTAATCAGACAAAGAAACATTCTGCTACTAATAATAGGTGAACCTGCACTCAGGAGGTGAACAGTGGGAAACTGAGATGGCTTCCAGACCAAGGGCTCCAGAGCATTTTTTAAACTCCCCTTCTCTGAGTGTTACTCACTGCTGGGCTCCCACCTGCATCAAGCACTGCTTACCTGGAGTCAAACCGGGGTGTCATGCCCGGAGTTGGTTTTACCATAGACAACTCCAATCGGCCCACCGCTGGGGTCACAAAATTGTCATAGCTTGACCTACAGGTAAGAAACAGCCATGAAGTATGTCAACTCTCAGGTGCAACGACAGCAGCAGTGGCTGCAGAGACAGGTAACGTGTGTAGAGCGCTGATCATGTCAGACGCTGACTGTCCCAGCTGCCTGAGAGCACTATTCATGTCTTCATTTACAGATGGGGAAACTCAGGTACAAAGTTTAAAGAACTTGCCCAAGATCACACAGCAAGTTGGGGAAGAGCCAGACTCTGACCACAAGCTGTCTGCCTCTAGCACTAGACTCCCATCCAAGCTGAAGAAACAACCCCTTGGCAATGGAAAGGCTCCCTAGCTGTTAATTCTTGTCCTCTCACAAGGCAGCTGGTTAATATCCTGCTGTCTCCCTGCATCCAGGGAGACAGGACCAGCTCTCTCATTCACAGACACATGCATCTCAATGCCTACTTTCCTAAGCTGTGCCCCTGTGCTCTCAAATGGTCTATAGTGGTGTCCAGCATAATCAACGCAAGCCCATGGACCTAGACCATTTCAAGAAACCAATTATGGGAAGGTGACAGCCATTTCGTGGCTAATTTTGGTAGCTGTACACATGGACTGTCAAGTAAGTCAACATCATATGCAGTTCCTACTATATTCTTCTGAGCCTAATTTTCCTTGTTTGGGTTGGAAAAAAAAGTGGGGGAGGCTGCACATGCCTATAATCCTAGCTACTCGGGAGGCAAGAAGATTGTAAGTTCAAGTCCCACCTAGGCAAGTTAGTGAGACCTTGTCTCAAAGTTAAAAAACAAAAATGGCTGGTCATGTAGCTCAGCAGTCTCTGGGTTCAATTCTTAGTACTGCAAACAAAATAAAACTAAACAAAAAGTAGGGGAAGAGAGAGAATGTGGGAGAAGCACTGGAGAAGGTATTGGTGTAGGCTAGTGGGGGCAAACATATCATGCTGTATAAAGTTCTTGAGTAAACCCAAACCACACCTGACTTTGGAAAACCTATTACCTTTTGCCTTTTCCTCGTATGGACTGGGTTCTCTTCTTAGATGGAGGACACTTTTTGACCTGAAGTCACAATCAAGCAAAACTGAGGTTATATAAAGCTCAGCAACAGGGAAAGGTAAGGAGGGTAAAAAAAGGAGGAGGGGAACCAGCTCTGGAAAGGAAGATTAACACTGAACATAAGAAGTTCCATCTCACACTATGACTAAAATAGTCAGAACATAAGTAAACAACTTATATTGGCTTATGGTAGACTTAGACTGGCTGGGACTTCAAAATCGAGGATTTGGGCCAAGATTAAAGGTACAATCTCTTAATTGATCGCAGCCTGGCTCACCTTCACTACTTTCCATAAAGTGCTGCTGTGGAAGTCACTCAAGGCATTTCAGGTGCCCAATCCAAGAACCATTTGCAGTTCTTTCCTGTCCAAGTCATACCTGATTCTTGCTCCTTAATGCCTGGTGATTTTCTTCTCTCTTGTCTTCCAAGACTGATCCAATTTTCCTTCATCTGTGGCTGTCCCTTCAGTCTGCCTTAGGAGTCCCTTCCCACCTTCCTCTGATACCTACCCTCAGCTTCCCTCCCTTTACGCTCTCCCTGCACAAGCTTTTCTCCTTCTACCCTGGGACAAGAACCTAAAGATCTGGGACTTAGTGAGTCTCTCAATCTCCTCTTTCTCTCTGAGCTCCAGGCTAAAATTCCCATCTGGCCTAGATGTCCTGGAAAAGTACTTAACATTCAGCAGGTCAAGCAATTGGCACTTGTTCCCCTTCACTTTAACCTCAAACCACCACTCATGGGTCCCACGTTTCATTGAATGGCAGCTGCCTAAGCAAGAAACCATTTATCATCTCTGATTCCTTCTTCCACCAATCATGCCCATTCTCCTTTATAAAACATCTCAAAACCACCCATTCTTTTCATTCTTTGCCTCAGTTCGGCCTGCCTGGTTTCTTTGTTTTCTCTTCTTGCATTTACCCTGAATTCCATTTTGAAATATCAATCTGATGTTACCATTACACAGCTGCCTGAGTGGAAACTTCCAAGCTCAGCACATAGGCCATCTATTATCTTGTCCCTGCTCTTCCCCATACCCCTACAGTTTCTATCCCAGCCATACCAAACTTCCTCCTGTTCCTCAAATGGACACTTTCCTAGTTCTACATGGAACATTCTCCCCTTTCTTCTCTAGCTAATAGAGACTCACCTTGAAAAGACTGGCTGTGTCCTAATGAGGACAGGGAAAACTCACTGTCTTCTTCCTCTGTGTTCTACACACTTTGCACATGTTTCAATGATCATTTTTGTTATTTGCCACTTAAAGAGATCTTTTCAATCAAAATGTGAGCTCTGGGAGGACAACACTATTTCCATGTATTTTTGTATTTGTTTATCTCTTGCTAGCCCTCTTAACCTGAATTCCTACTTACTCTTGCAGTTTGAAAATTCTTAGGTTTATTTTCTTCTTCTTCTTCTTCCATTATCATTTCATCCACTTGTATTACCTTTCGTTCTATGAAGAAACAGATTTAATAGCATGTGATCTCTGATGGAACAACCTTTCATGCATTCACATTTCTTATAAGGAACAACTTATGAGATGTTAGACTGTAATCAAGAAATAGATATCACACACTTTTTTTTCTTTTTGGCAGGTTTGAGGATTGAATCTAATGCTTTGTGCATGCTAGGCATGCAAGTTCTGCCATCAAGTCATACCCTGAGTCCCAGAAATTCTCTTTTTTTTAAAGAAGGGGATTATTTATTTCTTGGGGTTTTTGAGACAGGGTTTCACTACGTAGTTTAGGTTGGTCTTGAACTTGCTATATAGCACAGGCTAGCCTCAAACTTGTGGTGATCCTCCTTCCTCAACCTCCCAAGTGCTGGGATCACAGGTGTGGACAACCATGCCCAGCAAGAAGCTGGGGTTGTTTAAATAAAGGAAGCCAATCAGACTACTTACATAACCCCATATGATGGCTGATAGTTGTTAGGGATGACCTGCATTCTGATTAAGACAGACTTGGGCCTGAGGTCTGGAGCTACCACTTACTAGGTCAAAAGGCTTTAATCAGAAGTGTTCTAGTTTCCTCATCTATAACAAGGAGATATCACTTTACAGGGATATTATGAGGCTTGAAACATGTATTCCACAAGAATAGGTAGTTATTGTTATTTCTGTTCCCCTAGACCCTAGACATGTACCTTTAGGTGTTTATTAAGTATTTGTGGAATGAATGCATCTACAGTCCAGACACAAACTAAAATAAGTATTATTATATTATTTATAAATAAAATTATTATTACAATTGTTTTAGGAGAGGTGCCTCATTTCTTTGAGCATCATATTTGCTCAAGTGCACCCTATATCTTCCTCTAATAAATCCTTCTCATGCCTCTTAAACAAAAAAACAATTGTTTTAGGAGAAAAAGGAGTGCCAAAGATGTTTGAACTGAAAGATTGCAATTTTTATCTATTTATTTATTTATTGGTTTTATGAGACAGAGTCTGCTAGGCAGTTCAGGCTGCCCTTGAACTCACTATGTAGCCCAGGCTGACCCTGAACTTGCGACAATCCTTCTGCCTTGGCCTCCCAAGTCCTGGGATTACAGGTGTGTGCCACCACATCCAGCTAGATCCCCATTTTTAATATTTAAGGGCTTATCTTAAGAAAGATAGTTCCTATGGGGCTCCACAAAACAGAACAAGTATTGATACACAGATACCAGAAAGAAACTTTGGTTCAAAAATTAGAAGAACTTTCTCATCATCACGGCTTTCTAATAATAAAATGTAGAATGTTTCACCACTAAATACATACAACCAGGAGCTATATAATCCTGAGCAGGGATTCTATAGAGTTCATGTATTTAATCATGGTGGGGCAACATGGGACTAAAGGCTTTAAGCTTTTTTGTCAGCTACAACTCTGATATATTAGAATCTCTCTCTCTCTTAACAGTTTACAGTATATTGAAGTGCAATGGTCCTGGTGGGTTCAGTTTCAAATCATTAAGACCCTCATTACCAATGACAACTAAGAAAACTGATGGAATTCAAAAGAGAAACCAGTATTACCTAAATGTAGAAATGACCCAGAGTGACCTAACTCAGTGTAAATATATGGCTGAGGAATTCTAGGAACACTCAAGCCCAATTCTGCCATAACCTGACATACCCTGAGGGAGTTAGGACTAGAATACCACCTTAAGAAAGCAAAAAATCATGCTCTCTTCACTCTACAGGGCAACTCTGATGGAAGGCCAGTCAGACTAGAAGTGTAGTGTTTCTGGCCCTTGTCAGTGGAATAAGGTTCCTCGGGAAGGGACCCACATCCAGGCCAAGGGTCAGGACTGTCCTCCCTGAAGTTCGAGAACTTCCCAAGTGCTGGGATTGCATGTGCGTGCCACCACGCCTGGCCCTGTTTATTTTTTGAGACAGGTTTCACTAAATTGCCGAGGCTGGGCTCAAATTTGGGACCCTCTTGCCTCACCTTCCCAAAGTGCTGGGATCATAAGTGTGTACCACGATGCCTGGCTTCAGCACAGTTGATTGTAATTTCCACTTTAGCTCACACATCAGTCTCCCTGCCCCACACGCACACATCAGTTGTATGAGATTGGTTAGTATCAGTCCTGTATACAACTAACTGAATGCAGCAGCTCAAATCAAATTTTTGGATTTGTAAGATTGGGGACTAGATAGAGAGAAGAGGGCCACCAACGAGGCCCTACTCCCTAGACTTCAAGCTCTCTCTGCTCAACAAGTGCTTTGAAAAGTACTCACTTTTGGCAGATTTCAGAGGTGTCTGGATAGCTTCTGCTGTTAGTCTGTTTATTTCTGTGATATCCACATCAGCCTGTGACAAACACAGACAGAAATTACCAGACTTATTTAATCCAAAGGGAGAAACAGCATATTAAGGTAAAAACAATTTAAAGCATCTTATTTGATATGTGAACCTCCATAAACTGATTGTCATACAACCCAAAACCTAAAACACTGATGATAACTTGCCTCTAGCCATGTATTCTTTCCCTGTTCCATTTCTTCACCTCTAAAGGTAACCAGTCTTCCTAACCCTGTCATTTCCCAGAGATAATCACTATTATTCTACTTGCTTAAAAGAAAGTGTATGTATATATGAGTGTGTTCACATATACATGCATAGTTTTGTATAAATACAACATGATTTTTTTTTGGTACCGGGGATTGAACTCCGGTCCTTGCGCTTGTGCAGCAGGCGGCGAAACCACTGAGCTAAATCCCGGGACCATACAACATGCTTTTTTGCAAATGCAAAAAATATGCTTAAATTTTTTGATTTTGTTTTTTGACCACTATTTGTGGTTGTACTTAATTTGTTTTTACTGCTATATAATATCCTACTAGATGATTATATCATAATGGATTTATGCCTTTTCCCATGAATAAATTTTTGCCATTATGAATAGTGCTACTTCAAACTGTCTTATATATGTGCCTGTTGCATTTGATATTCAAGTTTTCTCTTGGCTATACACTTGGGAAGACAGAGCATTACAGGGTTGTTACCAGTGACATAAATGTCAGTTTTGATATTATGCCAAACTGGTTACTGCTCATCTGCAAACACAAGTTCCTAATGGTTCATGTCCTCGATAACATTTGATGTTGTGTCAGACTTCTCATTCTTTTGGTAAGTCTACTACATCTCACTGATGCTGCTGGGTCCTTCAAAAAGGCTCCTGTGCAGTAACCATTCTAATTAGATTTGTTCATGATTGGGATCACTTATATATAGAGGTACAGTTAAGAGCAGGGATGAGTTGTCTTTTCCTCATGAGAGGCATGTAAATATTGGAATAGTTATTACAGACTAGGAATGGTCCAGGATTCAGGTCTGGATTGGTAGGGATTATGTGCAGTGCTCAGAGAAGGATTCTGAGGCTGTTGGGACTTACAGTGCTATAACACATTAGTGATGTCTACCATGGTCGATGGAATGAAGTGGTGGCATTCCTGTCAACTTTCTGCCATATCTACTAACAAGTGGCACATAGTAAAGCTGTCATTCGTGGCAGGCCACAGACACTGTACATAAGAGTTAACACAGCCGGTCTAAGATTGGTATAAGTAGGAAGGCCTGTTTGCAAGATTGGCCCTTGGTTGGCATCTGGGAACTTGAATTTCAGGACTCTCACCATTCTATTTCAGGATTCTCTATCACCATTCTCAGACCAATTCTATGGTAAGAATAGCTCACTAAGCCTGGTGTGGTGGCACATGTCTGAACTACCAGCACTCCCACACAGAGGCTGAGGCAGGAGGATCACTGAAAGTTAAGAGGCCTGCCTGGGTGACATAGTGAGACCCTGTCTCAAAAAAAAAGAAAAAAAAATAGCTTACTGTTGGTAAATTCTGTGCAAACGATATAATTCATACTGAACATCTACTTTGTTCTGCTACACAGAGGATGCCTCAGCAGACCCCAGTAAAAATCCTGGGCACTGAGTCTCTAATCAGCTTTTCAGGCAGACAACATTTCACACATGTTGAATTAAGCATATCCCGTGCGACTCCACTGGAACTGGACTCCTGGGAGCTTGTACCTGGTTTCCTTTGGACTGTGCTTTGTATCTTTCGTTGTGCTAAATGATTGCCATGAGTGGGATTATTCATGCTGGCTGAGTCCTGTGAGTCCTCTTAGTGAATCACCAAACTTGTGGTGGTCTTGGGAGTCCCCAACATATCTCCCAGATAAGAGCTTTTGAACCAAAGTATCATTCCTTCACTGGGTTTTAAATCATGTTAGGTAAAGCTAGAATTCTCAGACTAGTGTGATGAGTGGATCTCTCATATTATACCAGAAGCTCTTATTTGCAGGTCTGTATGCCCAATTAATTTAAAAAGAGGGATGCAGTAATTTATTGACTGATTGATTGATTGACTGTAATACTGGAGATCGAGCTCAGGGTTTCACAAATACTAGGCAAGCACTCTACCAGTGATCTACATCCCCAGTCTGATATTGTATTTTGAAACATTAGATCTGAGTCTGTACAGTGGGTTTAAAATGGGCCACAGAAACAAAGAAAAAGAAAGCATGGATTAAGAATGCTCTAATAGGGGCCGGGGATTTAGCTCAGTGGTTTCGCTGCCTGTTGCGGAAGCGCAAGGACCCGAGTTCGATCCTCAGCACACACACAAAAAAGAATGCTCTAATACCCTCCCCCCTTTTGGAGACAAGGTCTCACTGTGTAGCCCAGGCTAACAAAAGATAATGTTCTTGCTGAAGCCACATAAGAAATTACAAGGGGTATAGAAGCTGTGAGCGAAGAACTGTGAACAAAAACCAAAAATACAGTCATCCCTTGGTATCCATGGGGGATTATTCCCAGGACTCCCTGTAGATACCAAAATCCACAAATGTTCAAGTCCCTCGTATAAAAGGGGGTGGATTTGCATATAACCTATGCATATGCTACCATATATTTTATTTTATTTTTCTTTTGGTTTTTTTTTGATACTGGAGATCGATCTTGGGACCTTGCACTTGTGAGGCAGGTGGCGAAATCCCCGGCCCTATTTTTTTTTTTTTTTTTTTTGAGACAAGGTCTTACTATGCAGTCCAGGCTTGCCTTGAACTCACTATGTAGTGAAGGCTGGCCTTGAGGTGATCATCGTGCCTTGGCCTCCTGAGTGCTGGGGTTACAGGTATGTGCCATCATGCTTAATACATTGTAAATACTGTGTAAATGTCATTATTCTTTTTTTTTTTTGGTACTAGGGATAGAACTCAGGACTTTCCACTTTTGAGGTAGGTGGCAGAACAACTGAGCTAAATCCCTGGCCCATAAAAGTCATTATTCTATATATTTTTGTTTTGTTTGTTTGGAGACAGGGTCTTCCTACGTAGTCCAGGCTGGCCTCAGATTAGTGGCAATCCTCCTGCCTCTGCCTCCTGAATTCTAGAATTACAGGCATGCACCACCACACCCAGCCTATTCTATGTTGGTTAGAGAATAATAAAAAAAGTCAGTACATGTTTATTATGGATGCAATTATTGCTTTCTAAATATTTTCAATCCATGGTTAGTTGAATCCTCAGATGAGGAACTTACAGCTAGGGGCTGGAGGAACTGTGTACCATAATAGCACTCTCTCTTTTTATTTTATTTATTTATTTTTTTGGTACCAGGGATCGAACTCGGGACCTTGTACTTGGGAGGCAGGCAATGGAACCACTGAGCTAAATCCCCGGCCCAGCACTCTCTCTTTTTAGGATTCAGACCTATTTGGGCTTCATGTACTCAGTGTTTGACACAACTATAATTTTTCATTTGACACAGATAATGTCCCTATATGGAATCTCTTCTACAGAATGTACCCCATTGGTTGAATTTTGTAACTGGATTAATTTTAAACTAGCCAGCTCAGAAATAAGACAGGTCAGACTGGGGATTTAGCTCAGTGGTTTTGCTGCCTGCTGCACAAGCGTAAGGACCTGAGTTCGATCCTCAGTACCAAAAAAAAGAGAAAGAAAGAAAACAGGTCACTTACTGTTGCTGCCTCTTCCAAGGCCTGTTTGTTTCCTCCAAGAGCTTTAAAAAGAACATTATATTTGGTTACTATCAGATTTGAACGATAAATCATCTTTCCTAGTTCCATCAATTCTCTTTCTATAACTGAACCAGATTAAGCTCTTGGGCCAACACTGAAAGAGCTTCATAATCTAGTCTAATCTTTCTCCAAGCATGATTCTCCCAACTCCTGGCCTGTGATTCTATGTTCTACCTCACCATGGTTCTTGTTTTTTCCCAAATGTGACACTGATTCTCATGATTCAGTGCCCTAGTATGGTACAAAGTATTTCCTCTGCTAAAATACTCTTGTGCACACAACAAATCTGTAATTCATCCTTCAAAACACAGCTCAACTATCACCCTAAAATTCTATACTTACATCCCTTATGTCATAATAGATTTTGGCAAATTGTGAAAAATTGCACAGTAAATAGTAAATTACTAAGTAGCTCCCCCTTGGCACACTCGGCTACTCAGAAGCTACTCAAAGTTGTTTAAGTGTCCACTCCTGCCTTGGACTAAGTTCTAGAGCTAATACTATTGCTTCTTACAAAAATGTGGCATAGTAAATATTCATTGAATGAAAAGGTCTTTGTGAAATTTAGATGCAGAATAAAAACTTTGATTCCATTCTCTTGCTAGATACCCTTGTGCATAACAGTTAAGATCTCAGGCTTTGGAAACAGAATGCCTGGGGCTCAAAGAGATTCTGCCACTACTAGCTTATGAGACCCTGAGCAAAGTAACCTATCTCTCTGTTCCTTGATATTATCATTTCTAAAACAGGCATAATATTAGTAAATAATTAGCTTGTTATGAGAATAAAATTAATGTATATAAAACATTTGGTGTAATGCCCATGTGGAATAGGAAGTGCTATGTAAATATACTTAATGCTATCTCTTTTGTATAATTCTAATTATGTACTTGCAATTGTATGTGAATTTTTAAATAATCCTTCCCCTATAACCCATAAGCCTCCAAGGACAGGGACAATGTCTGTTTCTTTTGGTACCGGGGATTGAACTTGCACTTGCAAGGCAGGTGGCAGAACCACTGAGCTAAATCCTCGGGCAACAATGTCTGTTTCATTCCCTGATGCATCTTCAGCACCTAGCACTGTAAATGGCACACACTCAACTTTTGTGAGTGAATGCATAAGCAAACAAATAAAAATGAAAGTCAAAAGAATCATTTAAATCCTACATGAGCATCACTTGCACTTCTATCCAGGAAGAAGACTACATACTGAGTAATTATTAATAAGGAAAATAGAAAAAGTTAAATTAGTACAGCAGAAAGGACAGCCCTTGCATTCTCCTGGATATTTAATAAAGGGATGGGAAAAGAAGCTGGGATTTTTTTCTCTGGTCAGAAAAAAGCCTCCTGTCCTTGCATTTTACAATTGATATGGCCCCTTTTTTTATTTTGTTTTGGTAGTACTGGAGATTGAACTCAGCGCCTTTACACTAAACTACATCCCCAGCCCATTTTTATTTTGAGATATAGTTGCTCAGGTGAGACTCGAACCTGCAATCCTGCCTCAGCCTCCCAGAGTGTTAGGGTTACAGGTGTGTGCCACCACTCCTGGCTTGATTTGCCCCTCTTTTTTTTTTGGTACCGGGGCTCAAACTCGGGACCTTGTGCTTGCAAGGCAGGCGCCTGAACCACTGAGCTAAATGCCTGGCCCGATTTGCCCATTTTAAAATGAACAGTTTCCACAAGCTAAAAGAAGAGTTTCTTGTGGTAACTCTTCCATCTGAGCTCACATAAACTAAGTCATTTATTCATTCATTTTTAAATAGTTGGATAATACACACAAGTGTAATATTTGTGAAGCGAGAAAATTACATAAAATTCGCATTTCAGTGTCCACAAATAAAATTTAATTGGAACACAGTCCATTCATTATATCTGTTTTGAGTAGTTGGACATGGAACCCTCTGGCCCAAGAAGAATAAAATATTTGTTGCCTGCCCCTTTGCCGGGGGTGCGGGGTGGACACTGGATGACAGTTCGTGCTGTGGAGACAAATGAAGCAGGGAGCTGGGAAAGGAAGTGGTCCCGACCAGCAGGGTTGCAACTTTCTACAGACGGTCATGTTAGACCTCATTCAGCAGGAGATATCTGAGTTAGTCCTTTCTAAAAAGCTGTCAGGATAAACACAGATGGGTACAGGCCGCGGCCTGGGGAAACTAACAGCTCTTACCGAAGTATTCGAGCCAGTTCATCTCGCGCAGCGCCTTGGGGAGCCGCAGGATCTCGATGTTATACAGGTTATCCACCTCCTTGAGGAGGTTCTGCCTGTCTGATTCAATTTGCTTGATCCGTACTTGCACTGCGAAAGGGCAGAGACAACAGGACACGGGTCACTTTGAGGGTAAATCCGTGTTGCCGGCGCCCCAATCCTCCAGCACCCCGCGATCGCCGCAGGCAGACGCGACGGCCGGGAATCCGCCCCTTACCTTCACGGTCGAAGTCCTTAAGAAACGAGGCGAGTTTCCGACTCCGTAACGAGTTGGTCTTGGCCGCCCGACTGCTACCCTTCCTAGGAGCCATGGTGCTTGGGTGGAGGCTGCGGAGCCGGGTACTGAGCCACAAGGGGTCAGCGGTGGAGACGGGGGCAGGGAACGTAAGGAGCTTCGAAAAGGCCAAGAGAACGTGCGGGAAACGTCCTTCAGGGTCTGGGAATAAAGAAGTCGCGAGGCACGTACCTACGGATCCCGTAGAGAGGGCCAAGAAAAACCTCGCTGTCGAAGCCGAGGAGCTGCTCGGCGGCTAACCGCCAACCAATTTAAACTCAACTGCCCCAGGCTAGCGAATGAGACGTCGCTGCCTTAGGACGGTCCCACAGTATCCAATCACAAGAAAGTCCTACCACCGGCAGCCAGTCCACATGTAGACTTCAATGCCCAGAAGTCTTTGCAGTTCGACGACATTTTTTTTACTATCAGTAGTCGCGTTAGTCTGACGTTTACCTTGGGGGCGCCGAATGTTTTTGAGCTCGCGCGGAGGGTGTGAGGCGTAGTGGTGTTTCGGGCTGGCGCTGAGGAGTTTGATTCGTTTGGCTTTAAATTTTTCTGGTGGTTTACAGCAAAGTGCCTGGCGGCCTCAAAGAAAGGATACAGATTACGGTTCCAAAAGCGCTGGCTTGAGGGGAGACGGGCCTTGGGCCCCGGGAATTCACAGTCTGAAGCAGGGGCTGTCTTATCCTGAGCCTACTCAGAGCCATAGCCAGTACACCGTTCCTGGGCTGGGAAGCAGGGGTCCTTATTTCAGAGAGCCGCTTCCGAAGGTAAGACAGTGCTCGCTTTGGCAGCACATACGCTAAAATTGAAGGTAAGCGCCTCAGGCAGAAGTTCCTGTCTGGAGGGCCAAGCGTTGCACTCCCACGAGGTCGGAAATGACTCCTGCCCTTGAACTGGTACCTATTGTACTGACTTGGCATCCTGGCCCTATTTCTGTTGTTTTTTTTCTAGCAGAAGATGGCTCAAGATCAACCTTTGCTTGCTGTGCAGGAGGCCCTGAAGAAGTGCTTTCCCGTGGTGGAGGAACAGCAGGGCCTGTGGCAGAGCACTCTGCAGGACTGCCAGCCCCTCCTAGCCTCCCTCAGCAACCTGGCAGAGCAGCTGCAGGCCGCACAGAACCTGCGATTTGAAGATGTGCCAGCCCTTCGGGCCTTCCCAGACCTACAGGAGCGGCTGAGACGCAAGCAGCTGGAGACTGGTGACACGGTTCTGGACAGACTTGAGGAGAAGCTGTGAGTCTCCATGGCGCTCTTTCTTGGCAGAGTGATCTTAAAACTGGGTGCTTTATAAGTAGTTAGGATGGGCCAGATGGTGGTTTTCTCCCTGAATGCATGGGATTTAGAAGTGTCTCAATTTTTCCTCCTTTCCTTCTGTTGCAGTGGGACTTCTACCAAAAAGCCATTGTCTGGTTGGTATTCCCCTTGCCAGAAGCTGGGCGTGGCCATGGTGGCCTTAGTAGAAGTTACAAGAGCAGAGCAGAAAAAGAGTGGAGAAGGCTTGTTAGCTTTCCTCTATAGTTTTCTTTTTTTTTTGGTACCGGGGATCGAACTCGGGTCCTCGTGCTTGCACAGCAGGCAGCGAAACCACTGAGCTAAATCCCCGGCCGTATAGTTTTCTTTGTTAAAGGCATCGAGGAACTATATTTTAAGCTAATGGGTACCAGAACTAAGTGTTTTACATACCCTACCTCAAAAGTCTTTTCATACCTCTCTGCAGCTTGATCTCATTCTATTTTTGCAAGCCAGGAAATGGATGCAAGCAAATTGTCCCTGGCCACAGAGCTAGTAAATAGTAAGCTGGGATTCTAACCCAGGTGTGCCTGACACCAAAGCCAGAGCTCATAACCACTGCTTTGTTCTCCCAAACATTGGGAGAACTCCTTCTGCTCAGGAGTAGCATGTCTTCCAAACTCTGACTTTTGCTTATTAGTAGACCCTCTATCTCAGGTGATAGATTATTGAGGACAGAAGAGACAAGGCATCTATAGCTTCTCCTTGACCCAGAACAAAAGAAAGTTCCAGTGTACAGTGTGTGTGCCATAGACTCATAGGAAACTCATTTTATTCTTTCATATATTTGTAATAAGCAATATTTATTAAGTGTTTGTAAAATGCCAAGCAGAAAGTATTATGAATACAAAGATGAATCAGACTTAGTTCCTGTTCTTAGTGTAGTAGAAGAGATAGACAGTCAATTAAATTATGTTGTGGTGGGCCAGGAATTTACCTCAGTGGTGCCTGCCTCGAAAGTGCAAGGTCCTGAGTTCGATCTCCAGTACCAAAAAAAAATTATGTTGTGGTATGTTCTAAGATAGTGATGAATGCCACCTGAGCAGAGAGGAGGCCTCCGAAAGGAAGTATGTAAAAAACCTGGATGAACCCATGTAAACTGGGTCAGGTAAGCTGGGTCAGGAGGAGGGTATGAATAGTGTTGTGTAGAGACTGGAATGGCTGGGCCAGGGGCTGGTAAGAAATGAGACTGGAGAGAGGCTGGCTCACAGAGGGATGTATTAGCTATGTCTAGGAACATATGGCCCATAGATTATATGTCTTGCTTCTGGATCGAGGACTTTGGTGAGAGATGGCACAGAAATCTGCAAGAGCCTCTTGGCTCATCAACACAGTTGCTCTATATTGATTGGCTTCCTTATCAGTAGTAGCTGTTTAAGGATTCCATAGGAGTCAGTGTTACTCAGAATGGCCAACAAGTGGTATAAATTCAAATATCCAGCAGATGTACAGATAAAACACTGTGGTAGGATCTATATAGTGGAATATTACTTACCCTTAAGTACTGACATGCTACAACATGGATGAACCTTGAAAACATGGCAAAGTAAGAGACCAGACACCAAAAACCCCAACATGTTGTATAATTCTACTTCTGTGAAATACCTAGAACAAATCCATAGAGATAAAAACGTAAGTAACTGGTTGCCTGGGGGTGAGAGGAAGAGAATGAGGAAATGACTACTAATGGAAACAGAGCTTGTTTTTGGTGGATGAAAATGTAGCTATAATGTTACATTACATAACTGAACTATTCCACAAAATATGACTTCAGTATTTTTCTTCTGTTTTATTGTATTTTAAAAATGCTGGCCAGGGATTTAGCTCAGTGGTTTCGCCACCTGCTGTACAAGCGCAAGGACCCGAGTTCGATCTCCGGTACCAAAAAAAAAAAAAAATGCTGGTCACAGTGTATAAATAAGGACTGACAGTATGAAAAACAGTGTTTTAGAGGGTCAACTATTGCTCTGTGAACTTTTATATCAGTTGATTACATGTTTGTGTGTGAGTATTGGGTTATTTTGCCTTTTTTTTTCATTGTGATTCATGGTCAAACATTTTTCTTTTTTTGGTACCGGGGATCAAACTCAGGACCTTGCACTTGCGAGGCAGGTAGCGGCACCACTGAGCTAAATCCCTGGTCCTGGTCAAACATTTTTGAAAGCCACCATTCTCAGCTAGGCATTGCCTTGCCCTTTTTAGCTTTTGTCTTGGTGTCTGGATACACTGGAATCACCAAGGAAGTGATATTTACCATAAACAGCTGGCCACTATTCTAAGCACTTTGTATGGATTATTGGTTTTTCTGTTTTGTTTTGTTTTGGTACTGGGGATTGAACTTGGGACCTTGTAGTTGCTGGGCATGTGGCAGCACCACTGAGCTAAATCCCCTGCCCTATTGTTCTTGATCTTATAATTACCTTTTGCATTCATTCATTGACTCATTTAGCAAATATTTGTTCTAAATGTTAGTCTATAATCTAGATACTTTGAATGTGCAGTGAGCAAAACAGACTGTTTTTATACATGAGGGAGACTATGTAACTTTCAGTCTGTCTATCCTGAGATCACACCATTCAGGAATTTATCAGAAAAGAACTAGGGAATGTGTAGATAGTGTTAGTTTGTTGCTTTAGTCACCTCTTGCTCATTTCTTTTCCTTGTACACAGCCTGGGACTATTTGCTCTCCTTATACAGTTTTGTGGCAGTCGCAGATATACCCCTTGGTCTTTACTTTCTTTGGTGACGGGTCTTATCCCATAGCTTTGAGAGCCATAGAACTTCTTTAGCTTCTCCATCTGTAAGTCAGTTTTTTATTCTTGAGCCACCCTTACCTGGAAGGCATTGTCACCAATTTCCATAGATAAGGGTCTCAATTGGGGATGGATTTTTAAAAAGACATTTGTCAGTGTCTAGAGACTTTATTGTCATGATTTAGAGAAGGTAGGAGCATGGTTTACTCCTGTCATCTAGTGGATAGAGACCAGGTGTGCTACTAAATATCTTACAGTGCACAGCACAGGATCATCCAGTCCAAAATGTCAGGAAGGCCGGGATTGAGAAACCTTGCCTCCTTCCTTTCTCATGGTATTGCCTGATGTCAGCCTCTTTCCCACAGAGATACCCTTCTCAAGGTGCGTGACACAGTCAGCAGCCACGTGGAGCGAGTGTTTCATACCTATGAGCAACACGCAGACGCACTTGGCATCGATGCTGTCCTTCAGCCCTCAGTTGTGAGCCCGTCTGTGGCAGATATGTTGGAATGGTTGCAGGATATCGAGAGACACTACCGAAGTTCATATCCTTTGCATCCCTTTGAGAGAGTGTCGAGAGCTGTTCCAAGAAGTCTTTTTTTTTGGTACCAGGGATCGAACTCGGGTCCTTGCGCCAAGAAGTCTTTTTAACTTCAGTTTTCACAAGATTAGAGAACTACATGGTTTGGTCTGTTCTCTTTAGTTCCTGAACTTGCATTCTTCCTGCATTCCTTTTTATAATCATTCTTTAAATAATTTATTGAGTAGCTGCTGCCTACCAGGCACTGTTATAGGTGCTGGGAGACAGGCATTAAAAAAGAAAAATATGGGGCTGGGGATTTAGCTCAGTGGTTCCACCGCCTGCCTCGCAAGCACAAGGACCTGAGTTTGATCCCTGGTACCAAAAAAAGAAAAATACACTCGGTGTGGTGGCACATGCCTCTAATCCTGAGGCAGGAGGAGCAATTGCCATGACTTTGAGGCCATCTTGGGGTAGGTAGTGAGACCCTGTCTGAAAAAACAAAACAAACCAAAAAGGGAAAAAAAGGAACAAAGGAAGATAGATAGATAGAGTTCTGGCCCCAGTAGTCTACACCTATAATCCCAGCTACATAGGAGGCTGCGATAGGCGAATGTCAAGCTTGAGACCTTTCTGGACAACATAGCCAGACTCTGTATCTCAAAATGGAAAAATGAAAATATATGGAGCATCAGATGATGATAAATGCTATGGATAAAAATAATGCAAAGAATGTGAGGTGTGAGATAGGGTGGTCTGGGCAGGATTCAGTGTGTTGACAGGGCATGAAGGGAGCACAAGGGGAGATAAGGTTTGTGAGTGTAGGGCCTTGACAGTCTCTAACAAGATTTTTGCTTTTACTTTGATTGAGGTAAAAGCTATTAAAAGGTTTTGTATAGAGGAGTAACATGAAAAGACCTGTGTTTTTAACAGTATCACAATAGCTATGTTCTATGAAAAGTCAGGGTGACGGCAGGCAAGGGTGAAAGCAGAAAGACAAGTTAGTTAAAATTCTAACCTTTTCCCCTGGATTCTTGCCTGATACCCACATCTCCTGGCTTCACCTTCATTTTTGCTTCTAGTCTTGAGTCTCAGTTGAACTCATTGTAGCTCTCAAATTCAATCCCCTTTTCTTTTTTTCTTTTTTTGTGGTACTGAGGATCAAACCCAGGTTCTTCTGCTTTCGAGGCAGGTGGCGGCACCACTGAGCTAAATCCCCAGCCCCTCAACCCCCTTTTCATTTAGTTGTAGAATCAACACTGTTGTTATTCAGTGTGGAAGTGTACCCTGTACCCCTGGCCGCCTCTTAGTTGTTTTAACTGCAGCAGTGATGGTGGTGTGGCACCAGTAGTAGCAATGTGAGCAACAGCAGCAGGGGCGAGAGGAGCAGTAGCTACAGCTGATGTTGCTGAGCACTTACAGTGTGCTAGACAGTTTGTACAGGCACTTGGCAAGTCCTTTGATTCTGTTTCCCTGGTGCTGGTTTCTAGTCATGCACCACATACCGACATAAACCTTGCATACCATGAGGTCCCAAAAGATTATATCACCTAGTGATGTCATAGTTATCTTAGTTGTGTAAGTACACTTTACAGTGTTCGCACTGGATAAAATCAGTTATGACGCATTTCTCAGAACATATTTTCATCATTAAGTGATGCATGACTGTATTTTTCTCTCTGCCCTCTGCCTCTTTAGTTTCTCACTTGGACTCTTAATCACATGTAGCTGTTGACAGGTTTCTCTGTCTCTAGTTTTTTCGCCCTCTAGGCTATTTCTAGGTAATGACCAGGAGTCCCTGTGTCTTCCAGAAGTCTAGTTTTGTTTTAAGTTGCTTGTACAGAAATTGTCAGTGCCTTCTGTTGCTATTAGGATAAGTTTCAGAATCTCTACCTCCATCCTCAGTGTTCTCTGTCTGTGTTCTGGATCCATGCACCTTTTCAACTACCTTTGCGTCTACATACTCTTCGTCCCAGCTGCACCAGAAGGCTCACTTTTCCCTGAATCCACTTCATGTTTCCTCATTCCCTTGCCTCTGTTTCTTTTTCCTACCAGCTGGAATGTTCCTGCCGGCCTTTAAAGTGGAGGTATTCATCCTTTGAATTTCCACTTAGTTTATTTTTCATGCTAACTTTGCTGCTTTTCGGTTTCTGGTTTTGTTGTCCCTGAGGTGAGATTCAAGATTTCAGGGACAGTGTTTGAGTCCTCTCTCCCAGTAGCATTAAGCTCTGGTAATAAAGAGTTGCTTGGGAAGTATTTGTGAATACTGCCCATCTGGTAAAATACAACCTTTACTTTACATCTGTCTTTAGCAGGGTGCTTTATTTCTTCCACATACTTCATTTTCGTTCTTCCTTTCTCTTTTTTTTGCCCTTCCCTCCCTCCCTTCCTTCCTCTCTCTCTTTCTCTGTCTCTCTTTCTCTCTCTTTCTCTCTCTCTCTTTTTCTCTCTTTCTTTCTCTTCTCTTCTTTTCTTTTCTTTTCTCTTCTCTTCTCTTCTCTTCTTTTCTTTTCTTTTCTTTTCTTTTCTTTTCTTTCTTACCAAGGGCCTTCTGCAAGCATTCTAGTACTGAGCTGTAGCTACATCCCTTAGCCCTTTTGTTTTCTTTGTGAAAATGTGTCCTTAACTCTTGGGAAGGTACCTGAAGAGAAAGTACCTCCTCTCCTCCATCCAGTGGGGAGACTTGGCAGGCATTCAAGCATTGCCCACAACCTGGAACCGAATTTCAGAGGATGAGCGCCAAGACCTTGTGCAGGGTACTGTATGTTCCTTTTCTTTCCTGGTAGCTCATCTCTTGGGAGGCTTTAGAGAGATACCCTTGCTGTATCTCCATATCTTTATAAATCTGATGTTTCATGTTCTGTGGAGTGGTGATGTGCAACAGTTTTTCCCTCTTCCTGTTACAGATATCCTATTGAATGTATCTTTCTTCCTGGAGGAGTAAAGAAGCTGTGTGTTTATCTGGAGACCAAGGGCCACTGTTGAAGACTGACATTGCTGCACTGTGATATTTCTGGTTCTTTTTTTTTTTTTTGGTGTCGGGGATTGAACTCAGGACCCTGCGCTTGCAAAGCAGTCGTTGGAACCACTGAGCTAAATCCCCAGCCCTGCACTGTGATATTTCTAAAGGAACGTCAGCACAGACAGCAACCTGGCATATTTGAAATATCAGTGTCTAGAACCTAAGGACTGGGTCTTAGGTTTGGTGGTAGGTGTCTCTGGGGGCTTCTCCATGCCAGGGCATGGCCTAGGGTACACAGGCCACTTCTTACCCTTTCCTGAGGCTCAGGGAAGTGGATGGAGGCAGAGAGACAGAAAAGACAGTGCTGGCAACACCGTATCTCTCTCTATCTTAAGATTTGAAGTGGTAGGGAAAGAAAGGACAGAAGATAAAGGGCTACAGCTGCTCTTGGCATCATTTGAATCACCACCTGTTTGACCCAGGTCCTGCTTTTGTGTTCATATCAATGCCAGACTCCTTGATGAAGAAGAAAGTGGTTTTGATGATTTAAATAAATAAGGGTGAGGCTGGGAATGTAGTGTAGTGGTAGAACTTCTGTTTGGTATGGCCCTGGATTCAATCTCCAGCATCAGACAAAATAAGAAGAAAAGGAAGGAAGCCAGGTGTGGTGGTACACACTGTAATTCCAGCACTTGGGAGGCTGCAGCAGGAGGATTGCGAACTTGAGGTCAGCCTAAGGCCTCAGTAGCTACTTCAAGGCCAGCCTGGACTACATAGTGAGAGTTTATCTCAAAAAGTGAATGAATGAATGAATGAATGAATGAAAAAAGGGTGATATTGATGGAAAACATTTCAAAATTCAGAATATTTGACCCACTGCAGTAACTCATCATCTAGCCACTTTCCATTTCCACCACCTGCCACCAGGGGGAGATGATGTAGCATGAATCAGCTGAATGCTTTGTCTTTGAGAGCTTTCCGTTGTTGCTGGTAACCCTCTGTGAGGAAGTAGAGTGAGACAAAAAATGACAGGGTTTGGCGAAAACTGACATCACACTGGCCCTGTTCTTGTGAGTTTGGATTAGCTACACAGCCCAGAGACTCGTGGTCAGGGTGCCTTGCTGAGGCTCCGGGTTTCAGCTCTACCGTGGCCATGTGCTTGTAGAGCTTCCCACTTCCCAGCTGCTTTTAGAGACCTCCACCACTGATAGAAAGGGCGCTAATAAAAAGAGTATAGATTTTTTTTTTTTGGTACCAGGGATCAAACTTGGGTCCTTGCGCTTGCGAGGCAGGCGGTGGAACCACTGAGCTGAATCCCCGGCCCTTTGTACACTTTTTTTTAGTAATTATAGGAAAGATTTAAAATGTAGAAAAGTATAATTCAGACTCTATCAGAGATATTTTAATGTACCCTTTCATTGTCCACTCACAGTTTTAGTAAAAAACAAGTGATATCAATACATACCATTGAATTGTGTTTAAAAACTAAATATAGCATTTTTATCTTCATTATCTGTTTTTATACCTCAACACAATTGTATACCATTATCTTTATTATATAATATATATTTGTCTGTGATTGTATCTTACAGTCTCTTAGATTTTATGTGTAGTTTTCCAAATCTCCATGTTTTTCTATCTACAAAGATCTTATACTCTGATTGGGAAAAAAATGAAATACATAGAAATATACCATTGTCCACTTAATAAATAACAATTATTAATAACATGGGTGTATTCTTCCAAGAATTTTATTAAAATTTTATCATATGCATAATTTTTATAAATAAAACTTAACTCAGAAGGGATTTGAATATTGAATCTGATGGGCTCTAGAGACAGAGATAAAAGAAAGTCCTGAGAAAGCTTATAGTTCAATCCGGGAAAGATACAGAACAGTGTCTTAAACTTTAATGTGCATGTGAATCACTAGAATTGCTAGAATTTAGAGTCTCATTGTGTTGGTCTGGGAGGGGGCCAAGATTCTGCATTTCTACAGAGGCCCTAGGAAGTGTTGATACTCATAGTCCAAGGATCAGCCTTTTGAGTTGTAGAGATTTAAGTTGTAATACAATGATGAAAGTGTTACAGTTATATAAAGGGTTGTGGGAGAATAGAGGTGACAGCTAACTGCTGGGGGGTTATTTCCTGGTGACAAGTACATCTGAGTTAGCCTTAAGGGAAATTTTACTTGGGGCTAGGAGAGGATTCATGGTATTCCCCTGCACGGGACACAGACTGAACAAGGGCAGCCTTTGATTAAGAATGGACAGTGACATTGAAAGTTTGCTCTGTGCAAGGCTTCGTGCTTGTTGCTTTTATCCCCTAGAACTGACAATTGCTAATTATGCAATACAGCAGGTAGAGTTCCTAGAAGAATGGCAGGAAATGGGTCTGTAGGGGCAGACTGAAGTCGCGTTGTGAAGAACTCTGAACCTGGTTCAAGGTTCTGATTTTTGTTCTAGAGATAGTTGCTTGTGTACACGTACATGTGTGTATAGTTGAATGCCCTATAACAGTTTAGTCAATGAAGGACTGCATATATGAGGGTGGCCTCATGAGAATATATGCTGTAGTGACACCCTGGCAACTTAGTTTAACTCCGATGTTCACACACAAAAAAATCAGCTAATGACACATTTCGCAGAACATACACCTATTAACCCCTTACCACTCCAATTACTTAAACATGGGATGACGAAAAATTTTCATACTTTTTCATTAATTTTATAAGAATATAACAGGAAGTATAAAAATGACAATTTTATCAAATTTATTCACTACAAGAATCAACTGGTTGAAATGACACCTGCCCGAGTGAAGCTTTGGATAGTCAGTACATAAACAAACGTGCTGCCTACGTGACGCTTGGGTAGACTATTTTTTTAAAGACAGTCTCAATACGTAGTTCAGGCTGGACTTGAACCCACTATGTAGTCCAGGCTGGCCTCATCTTCACCAGTGATCCTGATCGGCCTCCCATGTGCTGGGATTACAGGCGTGTGCTCACACCTGGCCTCAGAGTGGTTAAATGATACACAACTGTACGTGTGACCTTGTGTGTGTATAATAAAGCTTTTTAAGCTTCTGTTACTGAATGATGGCTGGAAACAAATATGTTTATGGTGCCTAGGAATAACTATTGAATAATTTTCATTTCTTTACTCTTAGCATTTTTCTGTTATTAAATAGCATCCTTTTAAATGTTTTTTTAAAATCTAAAATTTTGTTAATAAAACATTCAAGCATTATATAAAATCTTAAAGTACAAAAACATATTGAGTGAAAAATTCTCCTCTAGGTACCCAGGTCCTTTCCCTGGAGGCAGCCAGTGCTGAACGTGTCCAGTGTGCACTGTGGTGGTAGGTGTCCTGGATAGCCCCACAAGCCCCTAGTATACATGCCCTGGGGTACTCCCCTTCTTTCCGTGTGGGCCACCTTGCAGATTTGCATCTAATAATAGAAGACTGCAACACGGTGGGATGTTGCTTCTGAAAATAGATGATGAAAACAAGTCTGGCTTCCATTTGGGTACTGTCTTTCACTCTTGAATCTTATTCCCTTGGGGAAGTTGCCTGGGATGCTGTGCACAGCCCTGTGGGGAGGCACGTGTGAGGCCAGGGGCTGCAACAACCTGGTGGAGGAACTTGGAAGCAGATCCTCTCTCCCACAGCAGGAGAGCCTTCAAATAGGTCTAGCCCCAGCTACTAGCTCGACTGACCTCGCTAGGACTGGGCCAAAGACAGCCAGCTGAGCTGTGCCCTGATTCCTGACCTGCACACACCAAGATGATAAATGTTTAATCACTAAGTTTTGGGGGTTATTTTTCCACAGCAACAGCAAACAAATGTGTTATTGTGGGGGTTTTTGTTGTTTTTGTTTTGTTTTGGTACCAGGGATCGAATGCGAGACCTTGCACTTGTGAGGCAAGTGTGGTGCCACTGAGCTAAATCCCTGGCCCTGTGTTGTGTTTTCTCTCCTTTTTTATACAGATAGCAACATGCTATCTACCCAGTTTTATGCTTGGGGCCTTTTGTGTGGGTTTTTTGAGACAAAGTCTTGCTATATAGCCCAGGCTGGCCTCTTAATTCATGATCCCTCTGCATTAACTTCCTAAGTGCTGGGGTTACTGGCGTGCACCACCACTGCTGGCTAATGCCTTGTTTTTTCCATTTACTGTATCTTGGAATTTGATCTGTGTGAATACATAAAGAGCTTCCTTGACATGTTTCCACCAGCTTGAACCACCGGTGGTACACACATGACTGTTGTATCAGATAGCTTGTACCACTGATGGTGCAAACAGATCTAATGGATTTTATCTGTCTTTTTATTAATAAAATGAGTCTATAAATGGACTGAATCTAGTTAGTTGCTTGAATTTGAATAATTACTGCCCAAATATAAATACTATTCACATCAATTTCAAAAATTATTAGAATAACCAACAAACATTAGATTAAATTAAAAAGAAATTTATATTTGTGAATTTCTTTAAAACATTTTATACATAAAGGGGGCTGATGTGTGCAAAGTGCACAAAACATAACATGTTTGGTTTATTTTGCAGCCACAGCAACACCCGTATTTTCAGGGAGTCATGCACATACAACCAGTTGTTCAAGCCTGTGGGACAATTGAATTCAAATAGAGCCACTGGCAGTGAGACATACAAATTATAGCCTGTTGAGAATGTGTTAAATTTTTTAATAAATGATAGTTTGCTATTGTGCGGGCCCTGAGCTGGCCCTGATACTGGGTAGTGGATCCAACATAGATTCCAGGCTCTTGGGAGTAAAAGAAAAAGTAGCTACCTTTATTGAAGATAACAAGAAGATGTATTCAGGGCAGGTCCCTGCCAGCAGAAACAAAAAGGGTGGCATGAACAGAAAAATAGTGTCAAGGCAACAGAAAAATAAAAAGCACACACAGATAAATCAGGCTTTCAGGATTTAAAAGATGCGCACCTCTGCCCAGGTGCCTTTCATTGGGTATCTGGGTAAGATTGGCAGGAATGATTGACAGGGTGCTGAGTCATGTCAGGAACTTTCAACAAGCTTGTGTGCCCAGGGTTCACTCTGATTAAGTCACATATATGAGATACAGTCCATATTTATGAACTTTTCCTAAGGTTTGAGTAGGGAAGAGGTTACTGAACAGTGGAAGGAGGATTAGCCCTGGGGTGTTGCCCAGACTCAAGTGGGTGGAGGGGAGTGATTTCCCAGCCCTCTTTGTGCTACCTGTACTAGCCCTTATTGATGAACTTTGTTTTCAAAGTCTTAATATCTTTGGTTTGAGTAACTCTCCCCGTATTGTTCATTATCCTTTCTCACCTCCAGAATTTTCCATTTAGCTAATCCTGCTACCTCAACAGAATAACAACAACAAATTCTGTTGGTATTTTTACTGGAATCATAATAAATTTACAAACTAACTCAGGGAGAATCACCATCCTGGGTCTCCTTTAAGTACACTGTTGGCGTATGGATTGAGAGTTCTATTTCCCTCATTTGGGTCAGAACTCCCCTGTCACTGCAAGACATAGTCTGTTGGGAAGAAATAAAGAATTTTGATTTCCCTTTACTTCCTTCATCCACATTTGGAAATGGGCCTGAAGATGTTTGTCTCCCATAGTAAGGGTTGTCCGAAGCCAGTGAGTGGCCTGGACTCTAAGGAGGACTCCTGCCTGCCCGAGGAGAGTCCAGGTGCTGTGGTGACTGTATTATGTCCTAGTGTCATCAGGATGAGTGAAGCCAGGTACCAGTCCATTGTGCCCAAGCCCTGGCTTTGAAGGAGCTGATTTGGGAAGGGGAAGGAGCGTGTGTTGATAATCAACACTGCATCTCAGACCTGGGCAAGTCTGAGCTCTGCCTCTGCCTGTGTGACTTTGGGCACATGATTTCCCCTCTCTAGGTCTGTTTCCTCATCTGAATAATGGAAAGAATGATGTATCCTTGTTGCTGTGGAATGGGCAGATGAAGTCCAGGCTCCTGTGTACAACAAGGAAAGAATTGCCAAGTGTACACCCAGTAGCAAGTGGCAAGCAGGTACATTTATTGAAGATTAAGGGAAGTTGTGCTCAGGCAAGTCCATGCCAACAAAAGATAAGGCACAGACAGGAAAAAAGCGCTGGGGTATCAGAAAAGCAAAAGCACTACACATCAAAGCACACAGCAGCAACAGCAGCAGCCCCAAGTAAATCAGGCTTTTGTAATTTAAAGGATATGGGGCTCGGCCCAGGTGCCTCCCCCCTGCAAAGAATCTCTAAGTGGGACAGACAGGAATGATTCACAGGTTGCTGAGTCATTTGTAAGGGCTCTCAACACACATGCTTGTCCAGAATTCACTCTGCTCTTAATGAATGTATGATATGTAGTACATATTTATGAACTTTTAATGAGGTAGGAGTAGGGTGAAAGTGACTGAAGATCAGGCTAGGAGATCCAACATGCATGCTCTCTCGCCTACAGTATCAGAGGTCTCCTGGGTTTTTGTTATTTTATTTTCTACTCTCTTTGGACAGTGGAAGGAGGAATGACCATAGGGTGGTGTTTAGAATGAAATGGATGTTAAGGGAGTGACTTCCTCAGAGTTGTAAGGTTCAAGGGAGAAAAGATTCATGAGGGCTTTGGTAAATGTATAAACATTTAAAGGGTTGAAATTCACTAACATTTATTAGTTACATACTAAATGCATAGCTCTGTGCTGTGCTCTTTTATACCTCCTCATTTTCCTTGTTTTATTTTTTTTCCCTTGTTTTATTTTTTAAAATATCTTTTTAACTCTTAACAAGCATTGAAATAAGTATGCTACCTCCATCGGGCAGATGAGGAACTGAGACACAGATGTAATGAATGTTCTCAGGGCCCACAGTGTGTCCGTGACATTGCCAGAATTTGCACCAGGGTTGTCTTGGTTTTGGTGCAAGAATCTCTTCCTCCCGCCACTGTTCCCTTTCTACCACAGAAAGCAAGAGGATTACTGGCACCTAGTTGGGTTTTCTAAGTACTCAGCCCTGCATATGATAATGGTTTCTCAGGCACAGAGCTACCCTGTCTGACTTGGCAGTGGCACACAAAGTGCCCAGGCCTCTTCCTGAAGGCTGAAACCTTGCCAGAGGTTTGATCCTGTTGCCAAGAGGGTTGGGGTGAATCTTGGGGCTGCCTGCCAGACTCTTATACTTTGCCCTTTATGCTAGGGCCTGGGAAGAGAAAGCCAGTCTTTAAGGAATGGCAGGGTGACCCAAGTACTGTCCCTCCACCCATCATTCCTGGAAAGCTGCTTCATTTCTATAGAGTGCAAAAGAAAGTCATTTTCTGGGACTGGGCCCTGGAAGAGCATATTAGAGCCTCAGCCCCAGAGATCCTGGTCTGTATATGAGGGAAAGGATTATTATCTGCATTCTTAACCCTTCATTTGATTGCAGAGGATTACAGAGTCACACTTTAAGAAATAGCCTTAAACTGAGGGTGGTGCTGTATAACTGTAATCTCAGCACTTGGGAGGCAGGAGGATCACCGTTTTGAGGCCAGCCTGCGCTACATAGCTAGATCCTGTATCAAAAAAATAAACAAGAGCCGGGGATTTAGCTCAGTGGTTCTGGCATCTGCCTCGCAAGCACAAGGTCCTGAGTTTGATCCCCAGTTCCAAAACAATAAAAATAAAATAAGTAAGAAAGAAAAAAGGGAAGAAGGAAAGGAGGGAGGAAGGGAAGAGAGGAAAGGACAGAGGAAGAGAGAGGAAGGAGGAAAGAAAAAGAAACAGCCTTAATCCCGAGAAAAGGTAGCAACCACGAGGGATGTGGCTGGCGGAGTAGTCACAGAGATTGCCCTTCTCTGGGGAAGAAACTGCCCTTGTAACCTCCTGGGTGTACCTCTTCTCCCTGTGCTGCTCCCCAGCACCGAGCTAGTCCTCAGTGCCGAAAGCACCTCAGCATTGCTCTCATCCCCTCCACACATGCTTCAGGAGTGGGGAAGTAATAACTGATGCCTGCCACATCCACAGTCACATTCTGAGGCTTCTTTAGGTGTTTAACACAGAACTGATAACTGGCCATGAAAAGGTAAATAAGAAATTCTTGGTTTAGGAGACCAGGCAGGTAAGCAAGCCATGTGAGAAGTGCTGTCATAAAGGATGCACAGAAAGTATAGAGGAAGGAGAGGGTGACTGATTCTTTCTGTGAGAGGTGAGAATGGAGGATGTGAGACTCCAAGTGAGAATCTTCCCTTTGGTCTCTGGAAGAGCAAGTCAGGGGCACA